GTTTGTTTAATATAAAATTTTTGACTAATTTATAATTATATAATGATATTTTATCAATTAATTAATGTTATTTACTTTATTTCTTATATTTTTCCACTAAATATAATAATTAAAAATATATAAAATATAGAATTTATATATATATATATATATATGTTATATAAATTCTTATGAATTTCTTAGTTAAACTGTTAGCAAATAATAATAAATTTATTTATTTAAAAAATACATTTTTATTACTTATGATATTGATTAATAAAATCAATAATAAATATATTACAATAATAAAAAAATATATAGATATATTAACAAATTTTATTAAATAGTTACTTATCAAGTTATAAGTTAGTAATATGAAATTGATTAATTAAATCAATAATAAATTAAATGATAATTAATATTTGAGTAAATAAAAATTTAACAAGATTATATTTGATTTTTTTATTAACACTTCATGTTCAATATTATTTATTTTAGTAATAATTAAAAAAAATTTATTTAAAATTAAATTACACAATTTATAAATTAAAATTTATCACTTTATTTTTATTAATCAATGATAAAATATTAATGCAAACTAACATTTAGTTTGCATTAATAAAATAATATTTTAAAACATAAGTTATATAATAATAATAAATTGTAATTTTAAAAAATAATTTCAGTTTAAATGTTTAGTGATAAACATCAATTGGGAAGTATGTAATTTGTTAGAAGCAACTGTAGTATACAATTTCAACCATCACTCAATCCAACCAAAAACAGTTAGTTATTTAAGTGCAATAACCGGATGAGTCGCCAATCTGTTGGAGACAGAAACCACTGCAACAGTTACCCCACGAACCGTCCGATTTACAGGCAGACCCACCAGTCAGACAACCTATTAAATTAATTGAGAGATTTATAATTTTCAAATTAATATAAAATAATTATAACACAAACATAACTAATATACAGTATTATTAATTACATATATAATTGTATATAATTACATTAATAATTATCTACTTAAAAACTCGATATAAATAATAATAAATATACAAGATAATTTTTTATTGAAATTATATATATATATAATAAAAATAATTCAATATACCTTCAACAGTGATAGCCAACTGGGTAATATATACCAGTGCTACCAATAGTAATAAAATTGCTAGTTGAATTTTATTCATTGTTGATTAATGAAAAAATTAATAATTTCAATTATTAATAGTTTTTTTAAAAAAGTTATTTTTTTCCAAATGATATTCAATTAATTAAACAAATTATTCCTTATATACTCTTTTAGAATCATATTTTTATAATAAAGTAAATATTTTATTAACAAACAAACAAATAATAATAATAATTAATTAATTTGTTTCAATTGATAAATAGATTTTTTTATCAAGATAATTTATACTATTACATAAAAAATATGCAATACTATAAATAAGTTAACAAGCTAGAAATATTGAATCCTGTCCCATTTTGTTTGTTTGTTTATATTACAATTAAATAATTTGCTCTAAAATTAATAAATTAATATATTATTTACTTTTTTCTTATATTTTTCCACTAAATATTATAAGTAAAATGTATTTAAAATATTAAATAAATTTCTTAGTTAATCTGTTATCAAATAATAACATATTATTTATCTGAAAAAAAACATTTTTCATAAATATGAAATTGATTATTTAAATCAATAATAAATAAAAATGACAAAAACATAACTATAGATAACTAATTATGTAATTAATATTTTAGTAAATAAAAATTGTTTTATATTTAATAAGTATATTATTGACTATTAATTTTTTTTGAAAAAGATTTACTTTAAAAATAAATTAAGTTTAGAAAAAATGTTATCATAATTGTTTACATAATTGTTTACGTTTTAAAAATTTTACTAATTATTAGATTAAATTATGTAATATTTTTATTTTCATATTTACAAAAATTTTATATTAATTTTTATAAATAGTTACTTCTAGTTTAAAATTATTTTATTTTACTATTGAATAATAATTACAATAAATTATTTATCTAAATTAAATTACACATTTTCTAAATTTTAATTTATCAATTTATTTTGATTAATCAAAGATATAATATTTATACAAAAATAACATCTAATTACTTAATTTATTAATATGTTTAAAGAAAAAAGTATATATTTTTTAAGTTTGTTATTTATAAAAATTGTTTATTGAATATTGTTTACTTAGATGATAAATATCTTATAAAACTTATATAACTAATATACTAATTAATTATTAAATTATCTATATATATATATTATCAAGAAAAAAAATAAATAATTAATATAAAGTATATTTAATAATTTTTATATATATATAGATGGCAATCATTGCTACTAATAAATTTATCATGCTTGTTTAATACTTAAATATGATATAAAATAAATATTGGAAATATTATTATTTATTTATTTTCCAACTAAATAGCATTTCATATTTAAGTTTAACAACACTTATATACAAACACTTTAGTAAATAGTTACCTAATATTTCAATATTATTGATTTTAAGTTAATAATGATAATTTTTTTTTTAAAAATCATTTATATAAATTTAAAAACATTGATAAATTGCTAGCAATAACAATAATAATAATTTCTATATATATATCATATAATATCATCAATGATAAAACCCAAACCAAATTTTAATTAAATTATTTAATAATAATATTGTTAGAAATTTATTTTTTTAAAAAACTCAATTTTACATATTAGGTAATAAAAAAATAACATGCACGAAAATTATTAATTTTAAGTATATAAATATAAAAATAATAACATTGAATTCTAGAAAATATTCTAGTTAATACTTATTTTAATTATTTTTTTATTTAAATTGAGATAGCAACAAATTTAAAATAAAAAATAATTATTTTTTTTAAATTTATTTGCAATAACCGTATGCATCCGCTTGTTGTAGACAAAAATCACTGCAACAGTGACCCCATGAACCGTCCACTTTGCACTTGGATCCATCAGCCAGACAACCTAATTTAAATTAAATTAATTAATTAATAAATAATAAAAATAAAAGCAACACAAACATACAGTTATTATTTAGTTATTTATTTTTTATAAAAATTATTTTTTTTTAAATAGTATTCTGGATAGAAATAATAATAATTAGAATAATATTTTAATATTTATTTTTTAAAATACATAAATACATGAAAAATAAATAAATAAATAAGCAATTTATTAATGTTAGCTTAATTAAAAGTTTACCTTCAACATTCATAGCAAACTGGGTAAAGCTGCGTTCACACGGACAAAATCTAAGTAGACTTGACTTAAGTTTTGGTGTTCACACATGTACTTACTTGAGTTACCTTGACTTAACTCAAGTACAGTAGTGACCCCTTCTTAAGTAAGTTTACTTCATTAAGCACAGTGTGAACACACGAGACTTATAAACTTAGCCAATCAGTGTTAAGTATAATATGTAAATATTATTACGTTTTAAATACCTGCTTCGCTGTCTAGCAAAAATATTTTATTTAAATTGTTTAATAAATAAAAATTAATTATTTTTGTATAATTTTTATAATTAACATCAAAATTAATAAAATAATTTCAATAATTTGATTAATTTTTATAAAATTAGATAAACTTAAGTGTAGCAATGTGAACACATGTTACTTGAAACTTGACTTGAGTTCAAGTCAAGTCTACTTGGATAAGCATTAGTGTGAACGCAGCTTAATATATACCAGTGCTATCAATAGTAATAGACTAGCTAGTTGAATTTTATTCATTGTTAATTAAATTATTATGCTTATTTAGAAAAATTTTAATTAATTTAAACAAAAAAATTAACTAAACAGTTTTTTAACAATAATAATTTTTACAATACTTAAAATCCTATTTATATACTTTAAAAAAACAATTTAACAAGTAAATATTTTTTATACACAGAAAAATATCTAGATTATTTACTTAATTGTTAATTACATATTGCTATTAATAAATGATTTGTAATTTTGATAATATTTAATAATAAATATATTTAGATCTACATTAAGTTTATAAATAAAAATTATCATGGTTATTTACTCATAAAAATATACTATATATAATTCAAATAAATAATTCAATAGAATTATTTGATTTTATTAAATAATATATATTTTTAAATAATTTTTTTCAAATAGTTACTTATAATTTAATATAATTAACAGTTATTAATCAAATTATATTAATTAATTACAATAAATATTATCAAATAGTAATTATTTTTAATTGAAAAATAACAAATTAAATATTTTTTTTAGTGAAATATTTAAAAATACACTAATTTTTTAAGCATTTTTTGCATTTATTACAGCTCAGGGATGCGGTGGAGGGACAGGGATGTAATTTATGTCAAAGAAAAAATTATAAGAGATATTGAAATTTTAGCAAAAAAAAACATAATATATTAGATCTACGTAAATGTATTTAATGTAAAAAAAACAAATCATAGATTAAATTTTATTTATATATATATAATTAATATAAAAAATAATAATTGTAATTAGAAAAAAATTTTAAATCTACTAATCAATTTTATATACAATAATTTAAACGTAACTTATTATTATTATTATTATAACTATATAATTGAATTATTATAAATTTTTTATTTTTATATTTTGACATTGGTACTGTACAATTATAATTTTACATTACAAATAAACCAAAAAAAAGTATACTATTATTAACATATAATTTATTATGTCAATTAAATTACAATAATAATATAATTATAGTTTATTATAATTATTATTTGTATTTAAAATTTATTATTATATAAAAAAAGAAAATTAATTACATATTTACTATTAATTATTAGTTTTTTAATCAATTATTTATCCTATTTTTTCAAATTATCACTAATAAAAAGTTTTTTTTTTCAATAGAAAATTAATTATTAAAACTTTGTTTTTAAAAACTTTTTTAATATATTTAAAGTCATTTACATTTTGTATATAAATCAAAGTCCAGCTAAATCTTTAACTAAACGTTTGCTTAAATCTAACGATTGTCTTAATTGATGAATATTTACGTCAAGATATGTATGTTTTTGTTGTTGACTATTATAGTAGTCGTAATAGTTTTGATTAATATTAGTTAGTTTATAGAGTACAGTGATGTTGACTATCAATAACATTAGTGACAATAATAGTAATATCCTTAACAATAGCGACTCTTTGGCGGCACTGTTGGCGGCGAACAGGGAGTTATTGTTCAGCCATTTTGGTATTAGCCGTACAAACGATTTGTATTTATTATTATTATCACTTGTAGTAGTAGTAGTAGTATGCTGTCCACCGATGACTAGCCGATCGCCAATAAGCTGGCCATGGACAGCCATATCAGGCTCCGGGCACTTAAGTAACGAGGCTATGGAAGCTCTGGTAGTTTAAAGACACACATAACAGGGGTTACTAAATATGTTAACTATAATTAAACATATAGAGAATTATAGGGAAAACAAAAAAAAAGCTAACTGTCCATACATTTTATGGCGCTTTCTTTGATTAACAGGTTTATCAGCAAAAACATCATCTGTGGTGTCGACCCCAACCACATCCAGATCGTCATCATCATCATCGTCGTCGTCGGCCACCAGTTCCTCTTCAACCATATTGATGTTATTACGGGTAACGACATCCAGTTCCTGATCCTAATCAATCGGTTCCCAATCAACAAAAAAAAAAACAATTATTAAACAAAACTATAAAACAAATATTTTAATTTCTAAATTACCAGCTCTTCATCGCCGCCCGAATCGGACGACAGTCCCAAATCGGTACCGTAGTTATGGCGTATGAGTTGCCAAACTTCCGGTATCGACATTTTCTGGCCAATCAGTACGTCCTGCCACAGCCGATAGACACGTTTGAATGCCTTATCTCGGGCCACAAATGAAGTGAATATATACTTATGGCCGTCACTGGTAACCAATTGTATGGCATTAGGTATAACCCGTATGGTATTGGCTTTGTTTAGTGACCGGACATCGGCCAACCGTATGCTGACAACGGTTTCCCAGCCGAATATGTTGGCATGAAAGGACAGGTAGTTCATCGATAGGTATAGTCGCCCCTGAATTAGGATTTCCTTTTGCAGGGCACAGGAAAAGTCGGCAATCAGTCGTTCGTTAGTCGGAACCGATTTGGTAAACAATCGGCGAAACTCTAGGAGTCGGGACTTATACGACGGTAATAGCAATTGTGTCCACGATATCGACCGTTTCGGTAGTTTTTTATGATTACCATTAGTAGTACTGCCATTGGTAATGATATTGTTGTTATTATTATTGGTAACAATATTACTGTCCAATGCTTTATTATCTATGGATAGACATAACAATAGGAGATCCATTAGTGTCATTAATATAACTTATTATTATTATTATTATTATTTTATAGATAATATATTATATGTAAACTAAGTTTTAAAAAAACTACTATTTTTTATTATATATTATTTATTTTACAAATAAACACAATTCAATTAATTAGTATACAAAACAAAATAGTTTTGTATAATATATAACAAGTATAATAATTTTAATAATTTATATACAAAATATATATAATTTTTTTAAATGATAATAATTTACTGTTTAATTAAACCAAAAAAAAAATCTCAATTGAATTAAATTGGAAATATATTTAATGGTTTTATATCAATAATTTTTTTTGTTTGATTTATTTATTTGTATGAATAACTACTTAATAATAATAATATTAACTACTAATGAAGCTATTGTTATATGTCTTATACAATATAATTAAAAAAAAATTTTATTAATTCATGATTACGTATTAACAATTATAAGACAAAAACAAAAAATGTTTGATTAATATATTATATTTTTTTTTGTTTCTTGTATTTTAAATATGTAATGATTATTCAAAAATTTTTAGTATTTTAATTATTATTACTATTAAATATTTATTTTACTAATACTGTATACATTTTTTTAAGTGCGAGGTTAACCTCAAAATTTTTTTTTATTGATATATTATTACAATTGCATAATGATTGTCTAAATTTTTTATTATTATAAATTATTATTTTTGTTGTATATTGCAAAATAAATAAATTTTTTAAACTTTAATTTGTTAATTAATCAATACTTTTTCTTTTAATTATTATTTATCTAGTAATTAAACTCCAATGTGTCCAGGTACAAAGTTACAATTGAAAATATATTAGATACAATATATAAATGATTTAGTTTTTTAGTACAGTAGAAATAATAACTTTATCATCAAGGTTAAAAAAAGTAGTAATAATTATATTATTATTATTATTATTTTATATAGTACTACATTGTATCATATTTATCGTATTGATATATTAATTATTTTTTTACAAAAAAAAGGTTATTGAGTTTTATTTTATTTTTTATCAAAAAAAAAACAAATTAGTTTCGCAAATATTAATTAATAATTAAGTGGTTGAAAATTAATTTGTCATTTAGTAATAATAGTATTATTTTATTTTATTAATTTTAAATATAAATTAATATGCTTAAAAATTTTAAATTATATTTTTTTTAAATTATCATGATAATAGATAATGAAATTAATTATAAATATATTGATATATAGATACAGTATATACATGTATATTATATATTATATATATATATATATATATATATATTAAATATATGTTTGAATTGGTATGAGAGAAAACAGACATTTTTATGAGATATACTTTATATATGGAAATATATATATAATATTTAATATATAATAATAATAATAATAATTAAATATCGATAAATAAATCAATGACTTTAGTTTAAAGTAGTGATAAATGTCATATATAATGATGTTATATATTATATACATGGAGTATATCTATACATATAAATTAAGTTATATCACTATTTTTTTTAAAAAACAGTGTATTAAAGCTATCAATATAATCTCTTATTTTTTTGCCGGATATTAATATTAAATAATATATTGATATTGATATTGATATATATATATTTATAATTCATTAATATTATCAATAATGCTAAATATTTTTATAAATTTAAAACAATAAGACAGTATAATAAAAATTTATATTTTACTTTATTTTTTTGTAACAATAAATGACTAATTTTTAAAAAAAAATTATACTATAGCTTAATTAATACTAATATATATTGTAAATGTTAGGTTTAACATACTAAATTGATAAATATACATTTATTATTTTTTTAAATACAATATTAATTAATTAATTATTAAATACATTACGTTTATGATTAGTAGTATAGTGAGTCATTTGAAAGCCAATCATTGGTGTGTATAATATTTTAAATCAAAATTAAATTAATCAAATTAATTAAAAATTAACAAAAATTAACAACACATATATTTTTGGTATTTAGACAAATTTAATAAAAAAAAATTAATTATATCTCATTAATTTAATTTGTCATTTAAATTAAATCATTTAGTTAAAAAAATATTAATAATTTTAAATATTTTAAAAACATGTTTATTTAGCACAAATTATATTTTATTATTATTATTGTTTTTATTTTATTTAAAAATAATTATTGTTAATGAGTCACCAAACTTGTTAAGTAAACTATATTAATAATTATTGTTTTAAGTTTTCAATAACAATAATAAAATATAATTTTTTTTTGTTGAAAATAATTTTCTTGTTATCACAAAATGATAATTATTATTAAACTTTATAATATAATTCAAATCTTAGTAAAACTGTTGTATATGTATGTATAAGTATTAGTAATTTTTTTATTATCAATTAAAATATCATTATATGATATATATATATGAGTTTTTTTGGATAAAATAAATTATTTGGAAAAACAAAAAATTATAGTAACAAAAAAATTATTATACAATTTATATATCAATTTTATAAAAATGAGAAGAGATTTTATGTTTCAATTTATTTTAGAAAAATATTTATTTCTATTAATAAATAATATAAAAAAAATTCTAGTAATTATTATCATAATATACAGTATTATATATATACAGTATCTATAATATAATAAAACAGTATTTAATAATAATAATAATAATAAATTGATAATTACTAGACTGTATCATCACATATGCCACACACAAAAAAATACTAGTTTTTTGTGTTGTTGTTTAAAATAAAAATTGACATAAATATTTATATTATTATTAATAGTAAAATATAATTATTAATGATATTTAATGTTTCCCGGAAACATTCCCATATATATATATATACATATATATAAACACAAAGTTTTAGTTATATATTTTGTCTAAATGACATTAAACAATATACCTCTATATATATATATACAGATAGGGAGAATAAAGTTGAAGACGTTTTTGATGAATGATTTACAAAATATGACAAATATTAGATATTATTTTTTTACTGAAAAATAATCTCCAAATATGTAAAATTGTGTGATAAAAATTATTTTAATATACGATTTAAAATTTGGTCACAATTTACTTTCAAAGTTGAAATACACTTTTAGTGATTTTTAAACAATAATTAATATTAGTATTTAATAATAATATATTTTAAAACAAAAAAAGTTATAAAAATCATAATTCCTAATAATAAATGTAAACATTAGTTTAAAAAATTGCATAAAAGTTCTAAAATTCCAAGTCAAAAGACAAATCAAATAAGTTAAACATAACTCAAATAACTGAATTTAAATTAATAATTGTAATAATAATACATATAATTAAAAAATTAAAATTAAAAACAATTAATTAGTTCTAAAACTTAAAAATCCGCATCAAAATTTTATAAAATTGCTTAAATTAATAAAGCAAAATCACATTAATATAAAAAATTATCAGCAATAAATAATTACATTAATTTACTCTAGTTAAAGTTGAGAAATAAATTATATTTTTCGCATTTTATACAGTCATGTTTAATGCATCAAAATTAAATTATAAAACAAAATTTTAATAAATATCTAAAAAACAAATATAGAAAATCTTGAAGATATACTCTATCTCATCATTGTTTAAGACTGTAAAGTTTTAGACAAAAATATTCATCATTAATTTATAGTATTTAATATTTTTTTAAAGATATCTTTAAATTAATAATATTATTTTTATTTAGAGCATATTTAGTTATTTTTTTACTATTAATACAGATTTTAACTAAAATAATAACTTTATTGTCCATAGAGATTTTAAATGGTCAAAACGACTATTGCTTTTATTAAAAATTAATTTAATTTTTTAGCAAATGATGCCTTTAAGTTTTACTATGTCCCCAAAAAATATCAGTTTTTTAATATTTAAAATACCCGTTTAAACAAACAAAAATAACTAAAATAATTTTGGTTAAAAATGTCTAAAGGTATATCTCAACTTTAAAAGTAAATTGTAGCCAAATTTTTAATTAGATTTTAAAATATTTTATATGACAACAATTTTACATATTTGCAGATTATTTTTCAGTAAAAATCTTTTATCCAATATTTGCCAAATCAAGCAAATCGTTCATCAAAAACGTCTTCAACTTTATTCTCCTCACCTGTATATATATATATATATATACAGTATAAATATTGGTACAAATTTTTATGTATTATAAAGTTAGATATTTATTATTATTATTATTATTATTATTATTATTATTATTATTATTATTATTATTATTATTATTATTATTTTTACATACAGTCAAGTACTGTATGGCGTGTTTATAGTAGTCACCCATTGAATGGTGTCATTGGATACAGTGGTGGTTATCATAGACTATATTATAAAAGACACGGTATTTAAAAAAAAAATCCCTGAGCTAAGAGGTTTGTTTGACTCACTGTATATTTATCTGTATGTACTGTACTGTATGTGTCTATGTGTATGTATGTATGTATGTATATACTGTACTGTATGTGTCTATGTGTATGTATGTATGTATGTATGTATTTATGTGTGTGTATGTGTCTATGTCTATGTGTGTTTAAGTGTGATTTTATTTTTTTAAATTATATTATAATAATATTATAATATACAATAATATAAAAAACATAATGCAAACTTGAGATTAATGATATTTAATTTTAGTTAAAAAAAATTAAAATCTATTAATTAGATTTATTTTTTCTTAGAAATAACTATTTATTGTGAATATTGCTTATAATTAATTATAATATAAAAATACTAAATGATTAAAAAAAAATTTTTTTTTCTCTCTCTATGTTTGAGTACTATTGCTATCATTACTACTAACTAACTAAATAAGATTATAATAACTTAGTTAAAAAAATTTTTTTATATATATATATAATTGACATCATAGTTATGCTGATAAAGGGAAAGGGGGGTATGTTGTGTAATATATGGATAGGGTTATTGAGTACGTGCCATACAATGACTGTCCTTTATTTTTTTAAAAAAAATATATAGTTATATATTAATAGTTGTGACTATTTTTTAATGTGATTATATTTTTATGCTAGTGCCAATTTTTTTTAAATCTAATTTTTTTAACGTATTAACCATTTATCTAATTTTATTAATATTTTTTTTAAAAAAAATTAAAATAAACAATTTTTTAATTAACTAATTTTCTATTTGTATTAATTATTATTACATAATAAATAAAAACAAATATATATATATTTAATTCAATATTATATTAATAATTTGAAAATCAATAATAGTTAATAAAATTTAATATTATATAATAATAATATTAGTTTTTTGAAAAAGTTAGCAATAAAGTTTTTCTATACATTTTCTATTAATTAATTTCATATAACATTGTTAATTGTTTGATAACTGCAGCAAAAAATATTACAGTTATATCAATAACTATTTTAATTAATAAATTTTTATCTTATCTATTAAATAGAGTATTATCTTAATAAAGTAAATATCACTGTATATGTACACAAATATATGATAAATATAAGTATAATATTTTTTATTAAATTATAGTATACTATATATTTATATATATATATTGATAAGCAATTAGGGGTTATTGGGTACGTATACACACACACACACACACACACACACACACACACACACACACACACACAGTGTGTGTTATGTATGAGTTTTATTGTAATATAGAGTATAATATATATAAAAAAATAAAAATAATTAAATGTCTATTTTAGATCCTCATACCATTGAAACTTATTATAAAACATATATAATTATTATCATATTTAGACGATTTTTTTGTTATATAAATTTATACAGTATTAATATTTTATTAAATTTTAACTTTAATTTTTCATAATAATTATATCATAATTATTTAATACTTATTGTTCTTATATATATAATTAAATTAATTGATAAAATTAATATAAACAACAACATTAAGGTTATTAAACTTTATATATAATTAATTTTGTTTATTTTAATTATAATAATAATTATGACTAACAGACAAACATTAAAAGTAATTTTATTTTTTTTGATAAACAAATATTTCTCACAAATAATATTAAATAATAATAATTATTAATTATATTTTTTTCATTAATTTTGTAGATTTATTTATTTGGAAATATCTATATATCAATATATATTTACTTATATTTTTGCATACTATGAACTTTGTAACTATATTTATCAACATTATTATTACTGTTATTTGAGCTAGATTAAATATTCAATATTATTTTCCCTAGTTTAATATGTATTATTATTGGTTAGTTAGTAGTAATTTAAAACTTTTAAAATAATTATTATTTATATATATATATATATAAATAATGTTTATTTTAATACATTTTTATTTTTTAAAAGTCATGTCTAGTATTAAATAACTAAATTATTATTATTATTATTATATGTATATAAAACAAATTGTTTAAATATTTTATTTTAAAAAAAATCATGTTTAGTAGTAAAAACTAAATGTTACTTTTTTAGAAATTCAATTTTTAATTTTGTATTAATAATATAAATGAGTTGTAATGTCTAATTGAAGTTATTTTTAAAACTAAATATAATTTTTTTTATAAATTTAATAATTATAGTTATTATTAGTTCACTATTTATACAATAGTTTTAATTTTATCATAATATAATATGATATCATAAAGTATATATATTGTATATATGGTGATATAGATTATCAAGGCTAAAACACGTTTGACTACAATATACAATATATAAATATCATACGTTTAAAATAATTATTAATATAATATAGTGATAATAATAATAATAATAATAATAATAATAATAATAATAATTGTTATAAAAATTAATAAACTATTATACAGTAATAAGCAAATTTTATTTCATTTATTTTATATATATTGATATATATATATATATTAAACATTGAACATTGATATCATATGTATTAAAATTATTATAATAGTAGTAATATAATAATAACTAATAATAATAATATAAAGTACTTGAATATTTGATATAAATTTGTTATTTACAGTTATAACTTTGTTGTTGACAACAAATAGTTAAATGTCAGATAAATATCATTTATTTTATATTACATTTAGTTATTATTAATTATTAGTTAACTATAAAATTAGTTTATTTAATTAAAACAAATAAATTATTAATATTATTTAACTTACCAGCTATTGATGTAAAATCTATATCATTGTTGATATCCATTCAATCAATCAATTAGTCAATCAAAATAAAATATATAATTTTTTAACTTTAATTGTTTGTTTGATTTAGTTTTTTAAATTATAAACAAAAATAATTAATGGCAAATGTTTATCCAGATTTATTACAAAATATATTGAATATATTGAATTTATGATAACTTTTTTTACATAATAATACTATTAATAATAATAAATAAAAAATATTTGTTTAGATAAATAGTATATTTTATTATTATATTATTCAAAAAAAAAGTTATAATGATTTTACACTATTTTATAGTTTTGCTGTCTGTGTTTGTCTCTCTCTCTCTTTAATATAAATATTATTATAATTTTTATAATTTCCTAACTATTACTGTAAATATAATAATAAATATAAATATAATGTAACTATTAATTTTTCAACTATCAATACATTAAAATAAGGGGAAACATGTATGGCATTAATTGACTACAACTTTTATAATATAATATTATAATATAATGTATATAATGGTTATCTGCTATTTTAAAAACTGGTATTTTTACTGTTTGTTTTAAATGGCTGAATAAAATTATTTGTACTGTATTTTAAAACATGTTATTTGTGTGTGTGTGTGTGTGTGTGTGTGTGTGTGTGTGTGTGTGTGTGTGTGTGTGTGTGTGTGTGTGTGTGTGTGTGTGTGTGTGTGTGTTATCATATATTAAACAAACTTTAATAAATTGGACATAAATTTTATATAGTGTATTGAATTTATTTTGTATGTATGTTAAAGTAAAATATATATATATATATAATTTATTATAGTTAATGGCCTTAAAAATACCACCAGTGCTATGATATATTGATATATATAACAGGTTTAGTTTTAATAGTAGGGTTGCATTGAAATAAATAATAATTATAAAAGTAGTTTAATATAATCTATAGTAAAAGTGGTATATTTGAAAATTAAAAGTTGATTTAATAAGTATTTTATTTTTTCAATAATAAAATTTTATATATTATATAAATATAAATTTTGCTAAATGTTTAATTAATTTATATAATATATTGAAAATAATTAAACTTTTTAGCAATTTTTAATCTTATTGATTTTTTGAATTTAATTATTATTTAATAATTGTAAAAAATAATAATTATAATAATAATTGCATTTAAATTAATTAAATATAATAAATTGTTATAATTATTGAATAGATAATCAAATATATATATATATATAATATATGTATAATAAATATATTGTATAAATTTTTTTTAAAAAAATAATATATAAATATAAAAATAAAACAAATTTTTTTTTTAATTTAAATAAGCCATATTTTTTTATTTGCCAAAATAATTTACATAGTAAATTAAAATAATAATAATCAATAATAATAATAAATAAATAATAATAATAATTTTATTATTATTATTATTGTATTTATTATCATTATTATTATCAATGATACAAAATAAAAAAAATTATAACAAAATTATAACAATTAACTTAAAAGTTATTATAACGTTATATAAAAAAAACTAAAATAATAAAATTGATATAATATTATTGATATATCAATATTATTATATATATGTATTATTAACTGCAGTGGGGAACGGCATTTAATTAATTGGTATTAATTGGTATGTCTATGTAGTAGGTGGTAGTGGTGGTGGTGGATAGGGAATGGTAGGTAGCAATAGAAAAGGGGAACGTTATGTTTTGTTTGTTGCGTTTTTAGTATCGGATAACTTTGGCAGCGGTTCCGTAACCATAGCCGCCGGACAGTCCGCTCAGGCCGTTGAGAGCCAATCCGCTTCCCAATCCGTAACCACCGTACGATCCGTAGGTTTTTCCGTAGCCGAGACCAGTGGTTGCGCCACCGTAGTAACCGCCAATACGAGCACCGGTCAAACCGAGACCAGTTGAGTAGCCGCCGAGTTTGGCACCGCTAAGACCGAGACCACCGTTGTAGCCCCAGTTGGTCACACCGCCGACAACACCGAGACCGACTGGACGGGCAGCTACTGCATGGGTAGCGTAAGCTGGCTGAGCAATGCCGACACCTGAGGCGGCCAAGACACCGGTTCCGCCGACAATACCGCTGGTCAAACCGCTCAATCGGACACCTTCTCCCTGAGCAATGTTGGTGTGGGTCTGTTCAATGACTGGCTCGACCTGTTGGGTGAGTGATCGGTAGGGTTGGATGGTTTCGTGAACTTGTTGGATGACTGGTCGGACAACGTTATGGATGGCAGTCTGGGGCTCGTCCTCTGATTGGGTAACCTGGACTTGTGCGGGTTCGGCTATATGGCGACACAGGAACAGTTTGGTTAGGTTAACAATTTGGTATATTATTTGCTATAATAGGGTAGACATACCAGGGATGTGCTGTTGGGTGACGGCCAACGGCGACGATTTGGATTGGAAGTTGATTCTGATGGGCGACTCCTGGGGCGGGACATCGACATCCTGGACGGTGGCGGGTTCGCCGCTGTATGGCACCGGTCGGTAGTCGACTGTTCGGGAAATTGTCTGGACGGCAGCGGTAACTGGACCGGCCTGGTGTACGGAAACACCGCGAGCAATGTTCAAGCCGGACAGTCCGTGGCTGGCGCCGCTAATACCGACACCGTATCCGAGACCAGCACCGTAGGTGGTTCCGACGGTAGCGGGACCGGCCAACAAGGCACCAGTACCGTAACCGAGAGCGCCGCTGCCGACAATGGCACCGGTAGTTCTTACGGCACCCAAACCGCCGACACGTCCCAAATTGGCTCCGTAACCCCAGCCGTTGGCACCGTAGAGACTGCCGTAGTTGGCCGATGATCGATAAACTGGAATACCGCTGACGCCCAAACCGGCACCGTACAGGCCGGAGCCATAGGTACCGTAGTTTCCGCCGTACAGGGAACCGGTATTCCAGGTGCCGTGAACTGAGACGGCCAAAGCCAACAACAGGACCTGTGATGAGGAGGGGATGTTTTAGTAGAGGAACGTTAGATATTTAGGAATAGTTAGCTACTAATAGTATATGCCATACCTTAACAAACATATTTGTATCGGGAATTAGTTAAAAAAAAAAATAAAACTAAAATATATGGCAGTTATATGTTTGATGAGATAGACAAGTCTGAGGACGAGCTAACCGTCCACTACGAGCTTATATACCCACCAAATCTCTCATGAAAACTAAATAATAATAATAATAATAATAATAATAACTACTGACTGACACCCCCAGTGACAGTGATAGTTAAGTAAAGTATTTTTTTTGTGGTTACTGGAGATACCAACCCTCTCATCCTCTTACCTTTAGTTGACTATTATCATCACTCACTCAGGTAGCCTATTGGGTGCTTTCAAAAAAAAAATATATAAAATTAATAAAATAAAATAGCCCGGTGCCCTTGAATTTAGTTTTGAAGTTTTGAATGTGAAAGTAATTTTAATATTTTGTGTCCAAAAATGTCTTATTTTTTAGTCTCTCTCTTTCTCTCTCTCTCTCTCTCTCTCTCTCTCTCTCTCTCTCTCACTCACTCACTCACTCACTCACTCACTCTTGTAATATCACTTTTATAAATTCAAGGGACTCACTAACCAATATATTAACGGATCAAACGGCTCACTAACAACACTACTAACCCATTGACATTAAATTTTCTTTCTCTCTCTCTCTCTAAGTTTGTCTTCAAAATAGGTACGGTATGTGCTTTGAATATTGAATGACATATAAATTACATACAATAATAATATACCAGTAAAGTCATCTAATAAAAAAAAGAGAGAGAGATAGTAGTATATTATACTGTATGTATGTTCATGAATGTTGTTAATGTATATATATAAGCTCTTAATAGCTAAGAGAGAGAGAGAGAGAGAGAGAGAGAGAGAGAGAGAGAGAGAGAGAGAGAGAGAGAGAGAGAGAGAGAGAGAGAGAGAGAGAGAGAGAGAGAGAGAGAGAGAGAGAGAGAGAGAGAGAGAGAGAGATCATAGACTCTGATAGGAAACTACATTAGTTTTATTTGATTTTTTTTCCTAATGGTTCAATATCATATTTTTTATAATTTAAAAAATATTTATTGCCTACCGGTGCCGTATATACATAAATTAGTATTAAATTTAGATATATATAAATTACATTATAATCTATTTGAAATTAAAAATTTTTTGTTAAATATTTATATTAAATCAGTTTTTTCATATAATAGAATTTTTATTATTGTCTAAAATATTTTTATATTTTTATAGTTATTTTTAAAACTTATTATAAAATATATTAATACATTAATACAAACACACACACAATGGGTAACATTATCTAAATAATATCATTTAACAACAATTATAAATTAATCATTAATTTAAAATATATATAATCAATAGTTAATTATATATTCACAACAACATTATCTCTGTCTCTCTCTCTCTCTCCCTCTTTGAGAGGACAGACATGTAATATGAAGGCTAAGTCCTAACCCGATACTCAACTTTCACAGACAACTAACTAAATTCAAGTCGACATACAGTCACACAAAACACGTATTGTACACTCATATCAATATATATATATCATATTATCAATTGTCAAAATCATCACTATCAATTATATGTACAAAAAAACCTTGTTTATTTGTTTTTTCAAGTTATGTATGATATGGAGGTTGGGATTGTGGGTTATTGGGATATATAGTTTAATCAGTGAGAGAGAGAGAGAGAGTGATAGAGATAATAGTATAGTTGTTGTACACTATTTGAATACTTAAAGGACAGTATGTATAATATAAAGTTGATTAAGTAGTGATATTACCAGTGATATCCAGTAGTATAGGTATATGGCTATAGAATTATTATTATTATTATTTTTTTTAATTTAAAGTATTAATATGTAAGTGAGTGAGTGAGTGAGTGAGTGAGTGAGTGAGTGAGAGTAGAAAAATTTGGTTTTTCCAATTCACTTTATTTTTTTCAAATTTTATTTGGTAGACAAAAATTGTTTTTTTAATGGTTTCATCCTTTAAATGACCTTACACATATTTGATTTGATTTTATTTTTTTGAAAAAAATAAATGTTTTAAAATTCTAGTTTAATATTATTACTATTATGTAATAAAAAATAGCAATTTTCCAAATTGTTTTAATCCAACCGAAAAAATATTTATTAGCAAAAAACACTTTTTTTTATTACAGTATTATATTGTTTTATAATGGTTTATAGCTATTATATAACTGGTCAATAATCTTATGCAATTGTTTTTTTTAAAAAAATAAAAGTCAAATAATAAAAATAATAATACTAATAGATTTTTTTTATCATGGTAATTTTATTTTATTTTTTAAAATTTTTTGGTTTAAATTGTTAGTATATTTGTTAGAATTTTTATGATTTTAAAAGTTAATTATTTAACAAAAAAAAATATATATTATCACTATATTATAATACAGTAAAACAATTTGAATGATAATATTGTAATTACTATTGCAATAATTTACATTGAAATTGACATTTTACTAAAATTTTTTTATTAAAACTGATTATTTATTTTTTTTAAACTGATATAATGTAAAAAATTGTATTTAAAACACTAAAAAATTTATATATAAACTTGAATCCTAAACAAAACATAATTAATTATAAACTGTCAAATAATTTTTAGAAAAATTATATTAAATATTGAATATTATTATTAATAAATAATAATTTTTTAAAATTATTATTAGATAAAAAATAATCAAAATAAACATTATTAAATTTTAAAACAATTATAAACAGTGATGATAAATTATAGTTTTAATAATAATAAATCATATTTTTTTATTTTTTTAAAAAAATGTTAATACTTAAGTAAAATAATAAAATATTATTATTATTAATTTGATTAATAATCTATACATGTATATAGTTAGTGTTATCTAATATATATATACAATAAAAATATAATGTAATATAATATTTAATCTCAAGTTTGACAATAAAAAGATTTTTAAAATTATTTTAAAATTTTGTTTTGTTTAACTGTTAAACATTTCATAGTTTTAAAATAATCGTTATTTTTTTTGCTAAAGAGTGACTAATAATAAGACATTAAAATATTTATTGTTTTTTTCAAAAAAAATAAAAATAAATAAATGCACAATTAGTAATAGTTTTATAATATAAAATTAAAAATATAATATCTTATTGAATATTAGTTATAGTTATATAATATATATGAATTTAAGTGCCTTTAATTATTTTAATCTATTAAAGTATTTTTTAAAAAATATATATATTTAGAAATAACATCATCTAATTTTATCAATAATTTTAATCATGTAATATTTTTTAATACATGATAATGTTTTCAATATTAGAAAATTTATTATAAAAAAATAAAATTAAAATTAATCTATAAATAAACCAAAAACAAGAAAAATCAAAATTATTAAATCAAATAGTCATACAAATCTAATCATTAAATTAAATAAACGCCAAACTCATTAAACCCAATAAAAACTATTGATTTATATTTATTTTTAGTCTAATTATTAAAACATTAATAAAAGATTTATTTGTTACAATGGTAAGTTTAAATATAATATATTATTTATGATATTATATATAAATTATATATATATATATTTTAAAGTAAGTTTAGATCATATGAATTTGGTGATTGGTGAGTGCAATCAAATTTAATATATATTATATACAACATTAAGATATTATATACTTTAAAATAATTAAAAATAAAATATTTATAAAGATAAAGGTGCCAAAAATTTTTTTTAATGATTTAATTTTATTTAATCATTTATATATATATATATATATATATATATATATATATATATGTTGTATGTGAATCACTATTAATATCTGTATATATATATATATACTGTATATAAATTAGTAATATATTAATTTTCGCAAAAAAAATTTAAAAAAAAGTTTTTTTATTACTATTATCTGCTTAATAATCAATTAAACATAATTATTTCTACTAAATATATCTGTAAAAAAAATTATAAATAAAATAATAATTATTATTTCAATGTGTGCGACATGTCATCAAATCCTTGAACATATATATGTGAAAATAAAATAAGATATTAATGAGAGAAATATTTGTTTTTCTCTCATTTGGTGACTTATTAACCAAAATTATTAAAAAAATAACATTAAATATACAATAATTACAAATTTTATAGATTTTTTTTTCAATAAATAAAACTCAATTAAATTAGTTTTGAAACTATATATAAATTAACACATTTTTTAAAAATTTGTTTTTCTAAATTCAATAATATATTTTTAATCAAAAATTAATACAATATATTCAGTACATAAATAGTTGCAATATTTGTTTGGTATATTTAAAAATATATATATTAATACTAGTTTTTAAAATTATAATAATTATTAGATTTAATTAAATTAAATAGATATTAAAGTTGTTTTTGTATATATAATTTGCAATATTTTAAAATAGTATAAATTAAAATTTAAAAAAAAATAAAAAAACAGTATATTTATTGCAAATTATTATATTTTTTTTGCTATACTGTATATTATATATTGAATAAATACAGTAGTAGTAAATTAAAGATTTAAAATAAAAACATTAAACAAATTAGTTGTTTGATATTTTTAGTTTAATTTTATTTTATTTAAAAAAAAACATTTTCATTTATTACATTTGTCATAAAATTAGCAATAACAAAAATTTAATAAAACCATTAAAATTTAATTATATAGTTTGGCACAATATCAAACTAATACTATTAACGCTTAAATAATTGGTAGCAATAAAACATTATATGATTAACACATTTAAATAAATAAAAAACAATTTAAAAAAAACAATTACAAGATAATTATTATATAAAGTTTGGATTGTATATCTAAACGATAAAATAAAAAAAAATTTAAATATAATTATTATGTTATACTATCATATATATGATGCAAATTTATTTAAAAAATTAATTATCATTTTAATAGACATTAACATTATTATCATATTTAGTGTACATTTTTATAATACTAATTGTTATATTTTTTAGTACATATATTTTTAAAATAACAACAACAACAACAAAATAAATGATTACTTATAATCTAATATACTGTTAATTATACATACATTATATATAAAAAAAACTATAAATATTTTACATAAAATAAAATAATACTCTACTATTTAATTAGCTATCATATTATTTAGTTAAATATGCAACAACAACAACAACAATAACAAAAATTAGCATGCTAATTTTTGGCAAGTAGTAGTAGTAGTAGTAGTAGTGATAATGTAAACCAATAAATAAATTAATTAAACAATAAAGTTTTGTAAATTTTAATATTTATCTGGAGTTAATTTTTTTAAAAATTTTAATTAAAATAATTAGTTTCAAATGTTTTTCTATTTAATGTAGTGTTATTTGCAAAAAATAAAAACTTATTACTACAACTATAACTATAATTTTGTTTCATATATATATATATATATCTAATAAAGTTTGAAAAATATGCCTAAAAAATACTAATATTATTTATAGACTTAATGAATAGATTATTACACTATTATTATATCTCAATATTATATAAATTAAAAAAATAAAATTATATATTACACATAAATATCAATACAAATCTATTATCACCCATATTTTTTCATTTTTTTAATTCATATGCTGATTTTTTTTGTAAAGATATAATTATGTTAAATTAATTAATTAATAACAATAAGAATTTATTATAAATTAAAAAAAATAAATAATTTTAATAATAATATATATGATAATTATAACTAAAATATTATACAGTAATTTTATAAACTATAATGCTGTAAATGAGCTAAATTATATAAATATTTAATTTAATAGATATCATTAAAAGCGATAATATTATTTATTATTAACTTTAAAATTATTATTATTATTAATTATTAAGTTAAATATGTATATTTATCAGTATATTAATTGATAATTTATAAGTTTTTATTAATACTTACATGATAATATTTGTAACAATATTATAAGCATAATTTAATTAATTATTTTTATTTTGTTAATTTATTTGAAATTTTTATATGCTTTTTAAATTTCAAAAATAGTAATATTATTTGTTGTATTATATTTATTAATATAAACTAAAATAATATTAGACATTCATATATCTAACAGAAATAAATAGATATTTATATTAAGTTTTAAATTGCAAATTACAAAAAATTAATATAAATATTATAAAAAAATATTGTATCATCTATCACAAATATTTAATTTTATTCAAAACATATATATATTAATATATATAATATTTTTAAAAAATATATAAATACTGACTATAAGATTTTATTTAATAAAATATATTTGATATAAATAGTATATTTGCATAAATTTTTAATATATTTATTTATTTATTTATAATAAATATTGTGTATTTAAAATATATATTACTTTATTTATTAAACAAAATAAATATATATATATTTATAAAATAATACTAAAATTTCAAACGTATATTACTTATTATTTTTAACATTATTTCTAATTATATAATAAAAAGTAAAAAATTAAATAAAAAACGTTTGTATTAAAAAAACAATGTTATTTAATAAATATGATAAATGATAAATTGTACTTGATTTTTTTACAAAGCATTTTACTATTTATATATATATTAGACCATGTGCCAATTTTTAATTAAAACAAAAATAATTAGTAATTTAAATCAATCATTTAAAATAACTACTATAATAAAAAAAACCGTATCAATAATCTATAATAATATAGATGTTATTTATTTTTACAATATATAAAATGTATAAAACAATAATAATAATAATGTTTATAAGTTAATAATATGATTATCTATCGTAAAAAAGCTTCAAAAATTAAATGTTTAAAATATTTGTTTAAAATATAAAATTACATTTAAATATTTAAAAAAATACATATGTATTAGTAATAGTTTGTATTTTAATTAAACATTAACAGAATAATAATAACAATAAACTGTAAATTTTTATTTAACTCAAATCTATTTAATACTAAACTGTTTTTGTTATAAACTATCAATTGAATGATAAACGTTTGGACACTTGATATTAAATATAATTTTTAATTATTTGTATAATAAAAACTTAATATTGAAAAAAATTATTTTATATAACAATAATCCTATAATAATATATTTTATTTACTTTTATAATGTATTTAATTTATAATAATAAAATAAATGTCTTAAATATATATATATATATAATAATTATTATTATTATAAATTATATTGATTTTATATTATAACTAATTTATTGAAAGTTTAATTTAATTTAATAATGATTTTTTTGTAATTTTTGTATTATTTATTTAAATATTTGTATATTATATTTGTAATAATATAACTAAAACAAAAAATAATAATAATATCAATAGGAATAAAAAATTATTATTTATAATTATATAATAAAATGTTCAAAAATTTACAGTTTACTATTAATATACTAATTTATATTAATAGTTTGTATTTAACTAATTTAACTATTTAAGTAAACAATTTAATTAATATGTTTTATTTAAATAATTATAATATTAACAATAAACTGTAATTTTTTAATTAACTCAAATCTATTTATTATTATCTATTGTTATTAAATAATAATTAGTTACCATCAACTATTGGATATTAAATTTAAAAAAAATATTTTTGTATAATATAAAAACACAAATAAATAATATATATATATTATATATCTATAATTTATTCAATAACAAAAAATTATATGCCGATAATATTTTTAAACATTTTATTATTTTAAATTTTTGTCTATTAATAGGAATTTTGAAAAAAATAATTATTAGTTAATATAAAAATATTATTTTAGTTATTCAAGTATAAAATTTTTAGGTTTAAAATTTAAATTAATAATAAAATTCACTGTTTTTTTGTTTGATTGTATAATTTATCATATTTGGTAATAATTTTTTTTATAAATAAATACATAAAAAAATCTAATAATAATATTATATTTATACATATTATAGTACATTTTATTACGGTACTAATTACTAGTAATTGATAAAATAAAAATCAATAATTATTATTAGTTTTTATCTCATTTATAACCCATTTATTTGTTTTTAATTAAAAACAACAATATTATATAATAGGATACAAATACAGTATATTTTTCACAATCATTTTTATCTTTAAGTAATACCCATTGAAATCAAAGTACAGTGTAATTAAATAAATTAATTTATTAATAATTATTATTAAATTTTTAAAAAAATATTATATTAATTACATATACTTTCTATTACTGAAAATAATATCACATAACTATACTATACAAGTGCTCAACACTGATATAATATTTACATTATAAAGTGTTTTTCAAATATACAGTATTAGACATACTGTATATAGAAATAAAAAAATCAATGTTTTTTTCCTAATAATACTAATTATTATTATTATTATTATTATCATTATTATTATTATTATTATTATTATTATTATTGTCATTGTTGTTCAAATTATATTTATATAAGCATATATATATATATATATATATCAATAGTTTATAATTGTGAAATTTTTCAGCTAAATGTTTATCAGATAATAATTGCAAAAAATAGCAATAAATATTTGCTATAAATTAAAGCTAAAAATTATTATACAGTATATATATATATATATAGAAATAAAATATTTTTGAGTTTAATTAAATAATTATTTTATTATAATTATATTATAAAATTAAAGTCAACAACAAAAACAACAAAAAAAGTTATGAAACAATTATTGTTGGCTACAAGTGTCTGCTGGACTGTCCTATTATTATGGCTATCCATCCAAGTCGACGGTAAGACCATCGAAGTCGGAACAGCCAAAGAGTTATCCGACGCACTCGAAAGTGTCAAACCGGGCGATACCATCAAACTGGCCGACGGTACTTATCATAGCAAGTTTGTAGCCGAAACTAGTGGTACAAAATCGGCACCGATAACACTGACCGGTTCGCGTAAGGCAGTCCTGAGCGGCTCTAACTATGGATTTTGGCTTAAAGCTAACCACTGGCATCTGCGGGGGTTTACGGTGACCAACTCGAACAAAGGTATTGTCCTGGATGGTGGCAATCATAATCTGCTGGAGGAACTGGAGGTACACAATATCAAACAAGAGGGCATACATTTTCGACTACACAGTTCCGATAATGTATTGCGCAATTCGTACATACATACCACTGGCACCGGTAGCCCGGGGTTTGGCGAAGGTGTCTATATCGGATCGGCAGTAAGCAACTGGCCCGACGGTAAACCCGATAAGAGTGACCGAAATGAAGTGTCGGGTAATCGGATTGGTCCGGATGTTGCGGCCGAAGAAATTGATATTAAAGAAGGATCGTGTTGTGGTATAATCAAAGATAATACATTTGACGGCACCGGTATGTCTGGTGAAAACTATGCCGACAGTTGGATTGATGTCAAAGGAGAGGGCTATACCATTGAGAACAACTCCGGTGATCATACATTGCTGGACGGCATACAGGTATTAGTATTCACTCACTCACTCACTCACTCACTCACTCACTCACTCACTCACTCACTCACTCACTCACTCACTCATTCACTCAATCAATAAGTTTATATAACATTTACTTTTAACTTTAAATATTGATATATACTGTATATATAAATTATTTTTTAATAATAATAATATTTTAACCCCCTCCCCACACACCTCCCGCTTTTTTAATGTTTTTTATAGATTCATATAGTAAAAGATGCCGATATGGGCGGGTGTGGCAACAAAATAGTTCATACCAGTTGCAAGCACCTGGCTAAAAAAGGTGTATGTGTTAATGATACTACCAAAAATTGTAAGGATCCTAATATTATTGAAAAATAAAATTATATTATTATTATAACATTTTATGTAATTTTTTTTTTAAATAAGTCAATTTTTTTAATAATAAATTTTTTTAAATAATTTAATGCATTGTTAGTCTAAATGAATTAAATACATTCAATAAAGTTTTTCAATAGTAATATAATTAATAAACTTAAATGTATTTTTAATTTATAAAAAAATAAAATAAAATCTAAAAGTTAATTGAAAAGTAATTTATTTATTTTTTAAAAATTAAATATAAACTGATTTTTTTTTAATTAATGTTAATATTTTATAAAACATTTAATTGTTTGAATGAAATAATACAATAGTATACTATAGTCTAGTTTCCAAACATTTTAATTAATTAAAAATTAAAAAATTAATTTATGTTTTTTTTTAAATAAAATTACCCATAACAAATTTTAAATGCTAAACTACAAAACATACAAAAATTTAATTATTATTATTATTTTATTAAAATTGATGTAAATCAATTAAATATAAAAAATCAAAAAAAAATATATATAAATAAAATAAAATTTTACCATGGACACATACAAATCCAGTGCACATCTCTACTACTACTACTACTATTACCAGTAGTGCTCTCTAACGTTATTATAGTTAACATTGTTTGTTCACATTATTTATTTACAAAACCATTTATCTAACACTTGGATTACTAGCATATAGTTATTATAGTAAATCAATGGTTATAAAGTTATATGCAGTTAACCTGTTTTTTTAATTCAATTTTATTTAAAACATCACATGTATTGCAATAATAATAATAATAATAATAATAATAATCATTGAATTGAAAACAACATTACAGTTGAATATTCATTGTTTTAGTTGTTATTAAACGTAATATTATTATTGATTGTATGTATGAATCAATCAAACACTTGAATGACTGTCAGATTTAGTCATAAAATAAATAATAATATTTGAACTGTTGTTTGAAAAGCACCGGTAGTTTTGTTTTGTAGGCCAACCCAACCAACCTATCCATCCATTATCATCAAAACAACAACAATGGCATCGCATACTGTCCTCAAGGAACAGCTGACCGAAATGGGTTTCGATGACCGCAAAATGTATGACCAGTTTTTTTTATCGTCGCCGCCGGTACCGACACTACTGGCCAGTCGGTCGGTCAGCCGGTCGGTCGGCTAATTGTCTGTATGGCCAATGATTTTTGACAACATGTTGTACTCCCGTTATAACAGAACCCGTGAACTGAAAAGGTTAGGCTCGAAGGCTACCATCGAGTCGGCCATCGAAGCGCTAGAGTTGGCCCAAAATCGCGGATCAGATGACGATGAGGCCGCCGGCGGCGTCGGTACCGATGACGAAGAAATGGCCAGCGATAAGACAACGTCGACGTCGGCCAGCGACGGCCAAAACAATGGCGAGGCCGGAGCAGCGGCGGCAGCGGCTCCCGAAACGGAAGCCGAACGCGAGGCCAAACGTCTGTTATATGAAGAAAAGATCAAACAACGGCGTATTGAACGGGCAGGTAGTGTACCAATTGGTTTGGCCACAATCGGTGTACAATAACAACAACGACAACAACAAATACTAACGATTTAGTTGTGTTTAATCAGCTGTTTTATTTTGATGGGGGGGGGGGAGGGTTTACTACCGATGCCCCAACCGTGTGTGTGTGGCCAACACGGCAAAAGTCTACCCGTTTGTATGGTAAGCGTAGGTCAGCATAGTGGGGGTAGGGGTGGGAAACATTAACTAACACTTGGTAAACAACACAACAAACTTTACAGTACTTTTCAACACTTTAAACTACAAAAACATATTATTATTATTATTATTATTATTAATAACACAAAATGTTTAACCATTTATATCAAAATTATATATATATATATATAAAATAAATATTCAAAACTATTACCGGTAGGAAAAAACCAACAAAAAAAAACTTATATACAATAATAATATTCAGTAATATTTTTTAATAATGACTACAAATTATGACATTAAAAAAAACTAAACCTAAACTTGTAGTCAATACTAACTATCCTTTTACAAGACTGAACTCTGGATATTATTGTCGCTGTTGTTGTTGTTATTTACCGATTATTATTGTTGTTGTTGTAAGAAATATATTGATATATATATATATAACGGTATTTAATTAGCCAAAGAAAAAGAGGAGGCACTGAAACGGGAAGTTCAGCGCCGACAGGACGGCAAAGGTATGGGCAAAATGAAGGAAGAGTTGGAACAATTGGCACGGATTCGGGCGGCAGAAGAGATGCGTCGGGAAAAGGCGGAAGAAAAACGAGTCAGAGATGCCGTTCTGCAGCAGATTGCAGCCGATCGGGAGGAACATCGACGCCGGGCGGCCGGCGAGACTAACTCTACGTCGACAGCAGCCGCCGCTGCCACCACCGCAACGGTTACGGCAGCCGCTGCAGTGGTCACGCCTACGGTGCCTAAAGACGGCAAATGTCGACTGGCCATACGTATGCTCGACGGCCAGCAATTGATCAACGAATTTGACGCACGCGAACAACTGTCGGCTGTCCGTGTGTTTGTCTATACCCGGGCACCGGTCGAGGGCGACATATCGTTTGTTATGCCACCGAACAGGGCGTTCAACGACGACGACATGGAAAAGCCGTTGAGCGCACTGGGACTATGTCCGTCGGCCAGAGTTCATGTTATCAAACGTTAAGTTGTCAGAGACACTACTGGTGGTGTGTTAGTGACAGTGTAGGTGCGGTTGCTTATCTCTACTACCTCCCTGTCCCCCCTTTTTAAATAACTTCAACATTTTCAACAACAACAACACAAAAAAACAAATTGAAAATTTTCTATTGAATTAATTGATTATTATTATTATTACTGATATATATAAATGTTTTTTTTAATTTAATGTTTTTTTGTGATTTTGTTTACCGTAATATAATTATAAATAATAATAATAATAATAACAATAATAATATTTAGATATAAATTTATATACTATTACCGGTACTATATATATATATATAAAGAAATTTTTTTCTACAATTGTATTTATACTATTGTAAATGTTTATTATTATTTTTATTAAATAATATTTATATAATATCATTATTACAGTATAATTAAACCCCATTTTTTTTAAATGTAATTTTTTGACAATAAAAAATTTAAAAGATATATATTTAATATATATATATATTAACGGTATATAAAACTATTTTAATAATTCAAAACTAAAATATATATATTGAGAATTTATTATTATTATATTTAATAATACAAAAATAATTTTATAATAAATTTTTTGTTATGTTATGCAATATTTTTTTCAGTAAACTTATATTTAGTTTTTTTTGTTGAGACAATTATAGTATAATATAAAAAAATAATAAATATATTTTTAACATTATCTAAATTAGACACACTATTACTGTATTATTACTACTACTACTACTACCGTATATACAATTTTTAACACTTAATTTTTTTTTGATGACACCATACTATCTCAAAATGGGTTAGACATCTATTGATTAGTTGATATAGTCATATAAATAGACTACCAGTTCAATCAATCAATCAGTTATACAGTATATTACTTGTACTGTTGCTGAGACTCATCATAGGTTGGCGGCGGTGTCGGTGCCGTAGCATTGATTAGACCGTATTGATTGTACGGTTGCTGTTGATTACGGAATAACTGTTGACTGCTGGATGATGACTGGGCAGCGGCGGCGGTACTCATAAAATAGTGATTAGGTATGGCCCGCAATGGATCTATGGGTGAACCGGCTGCGGCGGCGGCAGCAGCCCTGGACAGTGGTATTATCGATACGTGAGCCGTCTGATCGATGTCGACAATATTATCGGCATTTGACTGATTGTTTGCACCGATAGTATGTCTAGCAGCCGACGACGATCCAGCCGCCGGTGTTACTATAATATAGGCTATAGGCGACTGGTGGTCAGCGGCGGCGGCCAGTGTCATATTGGATGGCAGGACACTGTTGTCCGGATTGATCAGTACGTGTCCATTGATTATACGTGTTTTCGTACACTGGCCGCCATTACAGCAGATGAATATCAGTAGCGATAGGACCAGCGAAAAGGTTAGGATTGAGCCCAACTGTCTGTCCAATGTTAGGCCGATCACACATGAGATGAATAATACAATAAAATAGATACCTATTTATTATATAAAATTATTTATATATATATTAAAATAAAATTATTTATATATATTAAAATAAAATTATTTATATATATTAAAATAAAATTATTTATATATATTAAAATAAAATTATTTATATATATTAAAATAAAATTATTTATATATATTAAAATAAAATTATATATATATATATATATTAAAATAAAATTATTAATATATATTATGATAAAATAAAATTTATTATCTTATATATTTAAATATTTTTCAATATGAATGAACCTAAAAGTAAATTAAATATCAATATAACGATTGATATTTATTTGTCTATTAATTTATTTGTCTATTAATTTATTTGTCTATTAATTTATTTGTCTATTAATTTATTTGTCTATAAATTATTTTTAATTTTTTTATGTAAGTTTTGCGTGTTCATGAATATATAATAAAAATAATAATCATTATTATTATTATACTTTAAGTTTTTTTTATGATTTTGATAATAATAAATAGAATATATTTGAATTCAATTTCAATTATTATTATTATTATTATAGTAATTAACAACAATATTTTCATAATATTATATTACTAATGTATAATTATCTGCTAATAATAAATATTATATTATTATGTAGTTTTTATTTTCAAAGTAAATTAAACTATTTTGGTTTTATTTTCCTAGAATAATTAATTATATAATATTTTTCAAATAAAAGTCATATTATTATTATATAAAATATATTGATTTTATATATTTAAATATAATGTAAGGTATTTAAATATATACATTATATAATTTAATACTGTATCTATATATAATGATAATTAACTTAAATTATAATAAAATTGCTAACAATTACCAGAATTAACTATTTTTAAACTAAATATATATTTATATATTTATTATTTTTGTTTTTGTTTATTATCTATTTTTGTATTGTTAAACAATATCAATATTCATAGTATATTATACATTAAAATTTTATATATAAATAAATAACTATAAATAAACAAACTTAAATAAAAATAACAATATTTAATATATAGAATTAAAATATAAAATTAAAATATAAAACTTTTTTTTTATAAAAAAAATTGTATTAATCAATAAATTATATGCATATAAAATGTTTATTTTTTTGAAATATTATTTATATTACTTACGTAAAAATAATCGTAAAATAAATTTTTTATCTCTAAATTCTGGCGGTTGGTGTTGTGTTGTGTCAAACATTTACAGTAAATTTAAAAAAAAAATTATTATAAATTTTAAACACAATTACTTTATCACAATTGTTATTATTTATTATTATTATTAATAATAGATATATTAAAATAATTAAAATTAGAGATAATTAGATAATACTAATAACTAACAAATTTATAAATTATTTGTAAAACATATTAAAATGTTTGCCACATTTAATTAACATATTTTGAATTAAATTACAAAATTAAATACAATATATATATAATAATAATGTGTTTATATAATGTTATGCGACTTTAAAATTATAATAATAATAATTATTATTATTTTTAAAAATTCAAATATTGAAGTATTATATCACAATATTGCAATTACTATTTTAGTTTAAAAATATATATATATATATTATTATTATTATTATTGAAACTGTTCATCAATTTATACAATTACAATGAATTTTTAATAATTTTTATTTTGGTGCATGCCTATTAAGCATATTATTATTATTATGTTATTATTATTATTATTTAAAAAATACAGTATATATTTTTTTGTTGTTGATTGTTTGTATACATATACATTATATACAATATATATATATATATATATATAATACTTGAAAATAAATTATAAATTAAGTCAATAGAAAATGTACAGTAAGTTATATATTGTAATAGAAAATATATTTTGTATGTGTATATAGAAATCCATGGAAACGCTATATATATGTATACAGAATATTCTGTACAATCTATACATTAACTGTTAGAATAATAATAATAATAATAATAATAATAATAATAATAATAATAATAATAATAATAAATTCATGACATAATATGCGTCAAAGTGTGCGTTAAAATAGTATTTTTTTTAAATAGCATTCAATTTTCATTATATATATATATTAAAAAATAATTTTTGTTTTATATGATGAATGTTTAATATAATATATATTTAAATATAAATAAAAATATTTAAATTAATATATTTAATATTAAAAAATATATATATATTTATATACACAGTAAAGTACTATAAATAATTTTATTTCATTTGAAAATTTTTTATTAAAATATCTATTTTTTGTTTGTTTAGTTGAAAGCTATTTTTTTAGTTGAAAACATAGATAATAAAAATAAATTTATTAAATTTAAATATATGTTAAAATATATTATCTTTATTTATATATATGAAATAAAGTATTTTATATTAATTATATATATTTATAGATTTATAAATTTATTTATTTTTTATAAACTGTAAATTAAAATAAAATTTTAAAAAAATTTATACATAAAATAATTTATTAATAAATCGTTTGGTAAAAATTATTTTCTATAATATTGATATTTATTTTAAATATTATAAGATTGAATAAATATAAATAAATAATAATATTATAAATTAATAGAAATTAACATTAAATTTTAAAAAAATAAATTATCATTTTGTTTTAAAAATCTAGTTTATTAAATAAAAATATTCCAAATATTATAGTATTATTACATTCAAAAAATAAAAACGATAAATAAATTATCACAAAAAAAACACAATAGAAACATAAATCTAAAAAAGCAAATCTGAATAAATAAATAAATAGTTTTTTTTAAATAAAAATAAAAACTAAATTAAATTTTAAAATATAATTATAGATAAATTAGATAAAATATTTTTTTAAAAATTTTTTTAAGTCAATATCTAAATATTCATATTGTTTTTATAAAATTGTTTTCTCATAAATTATATAATTAACTAAATAACTAACTAAATATAAATACAATAGATATATATATATATAGTGTATATCTATTTTTTTGTTGATAAAAATACTTATAATAATATCCATAACTATACACACAATAAAACAAAATTCAAACAAAAAAATTATGACATTTTATATCCTTTAATCAATTTTATCTCCAATTCATAGGAATTTTTAAAGCATCGGATAATCCTTGGCTGATACTCGGCCGGTATATTACGGGCCGATCGTTGTGTCCACGAAGCGGGCAAGTGGTCGGACTCAATAAAATAGATGGGATCGTCTATAGGTATGAACGATCGATTGTCATCCGATGACAACTCTTTCAGACACCTGTCCATATGTGACTCTTGATGTCGATGCCCATCATTATCGGCATTGACAGCACCGGTAGCCGCACCGGTAGATGATTCGTAAAATTGTTCGACAACTGCAACAATTTGTTTTTGTTTCCGATATTTTTTGCGCAATCTGTCGACTTGACGGCCCAGTGCTGAGTCCATTGACTGTTGGACGGCAATTGCCGATAGCATCTGCTGTTCCAACCATTGGACCAATGATGGCGATTCTGTCCATCGCGGATGACTGTCCAGACGGTCCCATGTGGCCAGACATCGGACCCGTAATAATGCTATAAATGATGTCAGCGACGGTACTGATGGCTCCCTGGATCGTAGTATTGCACAGTTATCTTTGCGGACTACCTGAGCCAGTTTGATGTAGTCACTGTTGTTTTTTAAGTAATGTGATATTAATAATTAGTTAATTATAATTAATTTTGTAATCAACACACACATACAATAATACTTTATATATATATACCAAATAATTATTAGTATTATTATTATTAAAAAATACCAAAAAACATATTTAGTACTTTATTACTAATATATATTCAATATATATATATTTATATATATATATATATATATATATATATATATATATTAAAAACTGTACAATTTAAATAAAATACAAAGTTTAGATTTATATATTGATTTAATTTTCTGATTATGATTATGACTATAAATTATTTTTTAAAAATAATTTTTACTTGACTAATATCGGATTTAAAAAATAAATAAAAATTGACTAAGATTAAATATTATTTTTTTAGATATATATATAATTATATTTAATATATATATATATATAAATAGTAAAGTATTAATAGTTATCAAATAAATTATTAAAATTATAAATTATTTATAAACTCACTTGAAATGTATGGGATATTTATTACGAGTGACCGACCAGGCATTGCTCAGTCTATAAATGTGCGGCAATTGTAGGCCACGTATCAAACTTTTCAATGACTGCCAGTTACGTAGTTTACGCAAAACACAACCAACCTTTAAAAGTTTTTTTTAAAAATAAATATATTATAAATAAATTTAATATATATATATAGAGAGACACAAATAAAATCAAAATTAAATATTATGTTAAAATATATAAAGTAAATATATAGATATAATAATAATACTAACAATTAGTATTATATATATACTGTATATTATTATTATTAGTACACAAATAAAAGTTAATTATTTCTATAAAATAAAATTTACTTGATACATTAGTTTATATAATTTTAAAATTATTAGTATTATTAGCACTAATTAATTTTTTGTTTAATTTTTTTTTAGTAAATTTGTTTTTTTTTTATAAAATATTAATAGTTATAAAAAGTATAAATCATTTATAATAAAAATGATATAAAATTTTATGTGTTTTTATTTATTAAGTATTCAATACAATTGATTCTTGCTAAATTTCAATTATTTTTTATTTGTAACATTAGCATTTAATTTAATTTACATATAATTAATTAATTAAATTTATAGTGTTGTAAATTATTTTTTGTTTTAAAAATTATTTTTATTTATATTTATTTGAGGATAATTTTTTTTATAAATACATCTAATCTTTAGATATTTATTATTATTAGCAATTTTCTAATTTTAAAAAATCTATTTGAAGTATAACTAACTATAAACTATAAAAAACTTATAAACAATTTTATTTTAATGATTTTGAAAACTATAAGTATTAAAGGAGTAAAATATTGCACAAATATATGTAGAAAATACAAGATTTAATTTACAAAAATATTACTATAATGTTTTTAATTAATATTATTTTTTTTATATAAACAATAGAAATTATTATTATTATATTTGTGTACATCAATCTCTATTTAAATTTGCTAAATAACTTTTGAATCATATATTATATGCTCAAAAAAAATTTTTTTTTTAAATATATTTATATTTTAATAACTATTTGGTTTTTTATAGCAATTAATATGACATCTATTTATAATAGAGTTTTATTTATACTTTAATTATTATTATTTGAAACTGTAATTTTTTAATAATCTCAAAAAATAATAAATATATAATATTTTTAAATATTTTAATTATATAGAACTAATTTGTAAGATACAATGTGTTTTGATTATTTAATGTGTAATGTTTTTTTTTAAAAAAAAATTCAAAATTTATTATAATTACATAAAATAATACAATAGTATATGAATTTAACTAATAATTTCTAATGTAAAAAAAACTAGAAAAAATATCTAATTATTTCTAACATTAATGATAACAAAATATATATACTCTAATATATTGTATAATAGGATATTAATTGTTAATTTTTTTTTCTAAATAAATAATTATAATCAATTAATACTAGTAAATTAATTGAGATAAAATTAATTTATATATATATATATATATGTGTGTGTGTGTGTGATAAATTCATTGTAACTAAATTACTGAATATATATGAAATGCAATATAAAAACAAAATTGTTATATAAATTTCCATAAATAATAATAATAAGTATTATACTAATACTTATGAAATCATAATAGCAATTATCTATAGATATATACGGAATATATATTACATACATAAATAACAATAATAATATTGATATTTATTTATTTATTTGTAATAATCATGTGAGATGTTTCATAAAAACAAACAAACAAACAAACAAACAAATAGTTTCAGTACACACACATACACACACAAAAAAACACACACACACACATACATACATACATACATACACACACACACACACACACACAAAATACCTAACATCACCAATATTAAAGTCCCTGATTATTATCACCTCAATTAACTACAACAACAACAACAACAAATATTTGTTAGTATCAATAAAAAAATATTTTTTTAAGTGACTAATTATTATCTAATACTATATTAGATTTTTACAAACCATATCATAATAACTATTGATATATAAGTATATAAAAAGTCAAACAGTTATCAAATATACAAACATTATTTTTATTTATTAGGCGTTAGGAAAAAAATCCTAATATTGATAACTACAATATACTGTATATTTACTATATTTAAAAAATAGTTTAAATATTAGATTTTTATTTTAAGATGATTAATTAAAATTTTGATAAAAAATAATTATATAAAATATTTTATTTTTCAAAAAGATATTAATATAAATTAAGTGTCGGTAAAAAATTGATAATTAATAAATAATTTTTAGTAATAAGTTTCAAGTACATAGCTCCTATTTTTCAACTAACATAACTTATCTATCAATATATATATATATTGTTTGATATTTAAACTTTTGATAATTATTAATACACACACACACATACTTGTATTATCGCAACCCTAATAATTTTAATTTTTCCGTTTGACGTAAATCACATAATTAATGATAAAATATAGTAAATATTATATATATATATATATATATTAATATATATAATATATAAGTTGCCCTATTGACCCAGTATCAATTGGATATTGAATTTTTTTTTTATAATATAATAATAGGTGCCAAACAAACAAACAAAATAATTATCTCAATTTGAAAAAGTTTATAAATTATAAGTTATTTTATCGATTATTATTATTATAATTTTTGATTTATCAGCATGTACATTTGTTTTAATAGATACTAGTACAATCACAAAAAAAAAATTATAGACAGTAGTTACTAAATGTCACACAATATACAGTACTTATACTGTATATAATTAACAATGTATTTAAATTAGTGATATACTGTATATTATTAGTTTTTTTGAAGTTAGAAAATAATCATTTTAAATACATAATTAATATCTAAATAAATTATAAATTTTTGTGCCATTAGTATAGTGTGTGTGTGTGGGTGGGTGAGTGTTAAAAAATAAATAAATTAGTTATAGATAATAAAATTTAATTTTTTTGTTAAAAAAAACTAAATAAAATATTTATAACTAAACAAACAAAATACACCCCTAATTGACATTATTAATCAATAACACACACACACATCGATAATATATATTTATTATCTTAATTGGTATTTATATCAACAACAAAAAAAAAACGAGACAACTAATCAACTTAGGGTATGGGAGGTAATACCTATCACACATAAGGAAAGGTTAGATAACAGCGCAAAAAAATGTTTAGAGAGAGAGAGAGAGAGAGTAAAAAATACCTCAATAAGTGCCGCAATTTTCTTGCCCTGAGCCTCGACCGTAACTTCGCGGACAATAATATCGGCAATCAATTGACTCAATTCGTGGCCAAACTCCAGCAATTTTGTCAGTCGGCTTCTGTCGTCTGAAACCGATTTACCTTTGCGTAGTACTACCGACATGACCTCGTCGGCCGGCAACGAGCACATCAGGTCACGCTCGATACGGGTAATCTGTAGGGCCAGCGATACGGGACTTTCCAATCGGATAGACTGGACCAGTGTTTTGGCATCGGTTTTCAGATTGCCGCCCACCCGCAGATCGAAACGATCTTTTTTGCCCGATTTAGGCGGTCCGGCGGCAAACTGTACCGATCGGCGGCGTACCGATAGACTGGTGTGCGATCGCGTGCGACGTAAGTCCCTATCGGTGCCGACATTCAGGTCGATATCGTCTCTGGCTTTAGCGGTCGACGAAGACGACGCCACCGCCGATAGATAACTATCGGTACTCTGTTGCTGTCTATACGGTGACCGGTAGCTGACCAGACCGCGCCGTTCGACAAACCCGAGTCGCTGAAAGTCTAGCTCGGAGTTTGTCCGCCGTAACGGTAGCCGCACTTGCGGATGGCTCATCAATCGGCCCTCCAGTTCCGGTTTCGGGCACATGTAGCGACTGGCATCGGGTAGCGAACTGTTGACCGGACGGCGATTTCTGTCCGCCGCTGCCGCCATTGACCTGGAGTTTTCCAGCCATTTAATTAGTATACAATCGGCCAGCATCGATATGCTGGTCCAATCGGATTTCCCTTTGAATATGTCGCTGCCGTCCATCGGTAAGGCCAACGGGAACAGACACGTGTCCTTCATGTCTGTCCCGAATCGTTCAACTTTTCTGATAAATTCGTTACGTTTTTTGTTTTCCGGTTCCTGTAGTTGCTGTTGATGTCCAGGACTTACAACTACTGGCGGCGATTCGGGTATCGGTGTCGGTATGTTAAGCGATCGTTTCAACTGTTGTTGTTGTTGTGCTGATGATAGTATGGGTGGACTGTTAGGTTCATAGATCGGGCTCATGGGTGGCGATCCGATTTTGTTGGTATAGGTCTGCCACTCGCTTATTACAAATTGCTATTAATTATAAAAAAAATTTTATTAATCAATTAAATTACAATATTTAAATCATCAAAATTAGTAGTGATTGTGTGTATGAAATTTGATTACATGTTAATACAATACATATATATATTTATTGCTATTATTTTTTATTATTTATATTTTTTTGTTATAATATTTTTATACCTATCAATAACTAAAATTATAATTATATTATTATTATTATTTAGATAACTTAGTTTTGTTTTTTTGTTTTTTTGTGTTTTAATAACAGGATATAAGTTATATAAATATTTTTGTAATATTTTTATTTTGTTCATTACTAATGTTATTATCAATATTATTATATTTATAATAATTAAAAAAAACAAAACATTTTTGTATGTTATGTTGTCTAGAAAAATATAATATTTATTTATTTTTTAGATAGATTTATATGATATAAAAGTAAAATTTTAATATATATGATACAAAGTTTCTGATAAATTATTTTAATATTATATATATATATATATATAACTAAACATAAAACGTGTGAATAAACTTTTAATATACTGTATTTAAATACAATATAATTTAAAGTATTTGAAATTTTTTTTCTCAATGATAATGATATTTAAAATATAGCAAATAATTTTGTTGCCACAAAAAAATATTAATATACAGTAATCTAATAATCTAAACAAATTTGAACCTAAAAATTTATGGTTAAATTATATATATATATAATTTATCAAATTTAATAATAGGTACAACAATTATTATTGTGAAATAGCTGTCAAACATTTATATCATATATATATAAATTATATTGAAGTTATTAATACTAATAGAAATAACAATATCACTAAATTTAGCGATAATTATTATGTTATAGTTTGTATCTAAAATAAATATATAATATATATTGCTAATTGATGTGTTAATTACATAAATATATATATTATAAGTAATAGTTTTTATGTGTTTTAATTTATTCATATTAACAAAAAAAATTGTTTAAAAAAAATTATGAAATGAACTAAATTTATTTTTAATCAAATATTGAAAAATATATTTTTTTATAAATAAAAAACACATCTATATACAGTATTATATATACTGAAAATATATAGTACTACTGTATATATATATATATATATGAATAATTTTTAAAAAAATTAAAACTATGCTAATGTTGAAAATTTCCTATAAAATTTAGAGATCATTTACATATATAAATACTACAAAATTTTGTGAAAAAATTATTTGATTACAGTTTTCTACAATTAATATTAGTTTAAAACATAAAACATAATAATTACTGTATATTCATACACACTAACAAAAAATAAATAATATAATTTTCAAATAAAATATTACAATATATTTTATACATACATTGTTAGCATTGATACTTTCGATATCGTTTAGCTGATCCATATCGTCATCATCCACCTCCTCCTCATACAGGGCACCGGTAGATGCCGACGACTCGACCGACAACATCGAGTCATAGCCATAGCCCGAGTCATACCGTTTCATTAGACTGGCTGTCTTTGCTAGTGGTGTCGGATGACTACCGCTGTTGTTACGATTGACTGCTGTCCCATCAATGGCATGCTGCTGTGTGGACTGGTAGCTATTAGGTCTGCCATTATTATTATTATTATTATCTTTGACGGCAAACTCCATGTTTCGGGTTTTCTGGTCGACACCCAGCGGTGGTATCAGTAGATTGCCATAGATGTTGGTCTTGAGCTGCAGGTTCTGGGCGTTGAGTGTCTGGAGCTCAACCTGTTGTTGTTGTTGCTGTTGATGAGCACCCGATGATGATGTTTTGACCGGCATTATTGCTAACTTTCCCCGACTCTATTGGATGGATCAATACACACACAAACAAACAAACAAAAATAATAATTATAATATAGATATCGATGTTTTAATTCACAAATATATATGAAATTTAAAAGTTATTTTTTTTTGGTGAAAAATAAACTTTTTTTTGTAATAATGTTGAATTTGAATACAATTTATTTTTTTTTTAAATAATAATAATTCACAAAAAAAGATAAATGAAAATATTATTTATCTGTTGATAGGGTTATATATATATATTATATTATATATATACACAATATATTTGTTTATTTAGATTGACGTGAATTGTTAGCACCGGTAGGTAATAATAATTTTGTTTTTTTATATATATGAGAGAGAGTGATGATCACTAGGATAGACACTAATAAAATATATTATATAATTTTACAGTTAATTGTGATATATATATACAGTATATATAAATATATATTTATATTTATACATTAATATTGATATTAAATAATTTTGTTGCTGTTTTAATTAAATTTATTTTGCTTTATTTTAAAACAATGATTTAACAAATATTTGCTAATCAAATAATAATTATTATAATACAAAAAATAATAATGATATGAATTTATTTTGCCGTATAAAATGCAAACTTTGATTTGTATTAAAATATTAATTAATAATTATAAATTTAATTTCCTATATTAATATAATTTTTTTTTATAATAACAATATTATTATTATTATTAAGGATTATTAAAATTAAAAAAAATAAATAAATTACTTTAGTTTTATTGATGAGATCTCTCTCTCTTTCTCTCACTTTTCTGAGAGTAAATGAGAGACACTATAATATATTTTTTCAGTTTTAATAAGTAATTAAAACTAAATAATATCTGATTTGATAACAAAGAATTATGTTTTTAATATTATTGATATTATAAATTAATAATAATAATTATTGGTAGCAATAGTTAGTTTTAAATAAAATAAAAAATAAGAGGGGTAACTTTACACTATCCACTTGACTATTGTTGTATTGTTTTATATATATATATATATTAATCCTCAACTCATTGACTACCCAATGATAGAGAGAGAGAGAGAGAGAGAGAGAGTTTGTCCTTTAAAATAAAGTATATCAATATACAGGTATATAAACTTTAATTAGTGTATTATCAATAAATCAATGTACAATTTAAACGAAAAAGTTATTTTATATGATAAAATGTTTTTTTTTTAAATAAAAAAAATAGTTTATAAGTACATAATTAATCTCAATATACAATTATATTGTATTATTATTATTATTATTATCTTATCAATTATTTTAAGCTGATATTTAAAAATGTATAATTTTTGCTAACTTTATTGTATTGTATTTTATTTTATTTTTTTGATTGATTTAATATATGAAAAATCAACTTATTATTACTCAATCAACTTTTAATTTTTAAATAGATACAAATATATATAATATATATAAAGTGATAATAAAAAATATTTAATAAATACCAAAAAAAAAACTACTTGATATTGCTAGACATATTTTTTTCATACTTATCAATATTAATTATTAATAATATATACTGTATATATATATCAAATATAAATCATAATATAAGTCATGGACACTACCTCCAAAAATTATGATAATTATTTGTATTTTTTTTAAATATACAGTATATTGAGATTAACATTGTTTTTATTTGATGCCATGTCTATTGTAAATTATTTTTAATATATATCGATAAAATAAATACATATATATATATATATATATAAATATTTTTTTATCTATATTAAATATGTAATAGTAACAGATAATTTATTAATTATTTATTTAGACTAAATTAAATCTAAGCTGACATGTGATATGTGATTAATAAATTTATTTTTGTTTAAAAAATATTGTTTTTTTCCATCAAACAACTATAATATCATTGATCTATTAATTAATTATAATAAAAAAATATATATTATTTTATAATGAAATGTATTTAATTTATATCTGTATAATCCTATTGCCAGTAATAGAGAGTAATGTTAAGAATTTTATCTAAATTGTTATAAATTACTATTTTATATCATATTATATAATTCATAAATAAATAAATAATAATTTACTAATAATTATTTATTTAGTTTGATTTCAACATTTAAAAGTAATAATTGTTTAGGAAACTAATTTATTTTATTTGTTTTAATAATATAATATAATATATTTATAGTGAAATAAATAAATATATTTTTTATCTCCTAATTATCAATATTATAGTAACTGTATTATCAGTTTCAATAAAAAATAGTCACAATTAAAACTATATGTTAACAAATTAAATTGATTTCAACTAATAATTTTAATAATAAATAATTTCATAAATTTTTATTTTAAAAAACTGCAACTTTTTAATTAAAAAAAATTATTAGTAACATAAATATTAATTATTATATAGTAAAATTAGTTAAATATAGAAATTATTTTTTAATATTTAATAAATTATGTAACATTCAAATAATGTAATTATTAATCAATTTTATAAATCAATTTTTTTTCAATAAAAAAACTACATATAAATTTTATTATTTTTAATTAAAACATCAATTTTTAAACAACAAAAAAATTGATGATTATAAAAAAGTTGTGGAAAATTTTAAAACATAATTTTTTTAATAAACTTTTTGTTTGTAGTTTTTTTAATTAGTAAATCATTACTCATTTAATTTTTTTTATTATTATTAATATATATATATATATTTATAGTTATAATTAAATATAAAGTTTCTATTATCTTAATTGAGACAATTAATTAAATATAATTAAATATAATTATTATACTCAATAAATATTAATACTTACATTTTAATTTTTTAAAAGATATATAACTTAAAAATTTGATTTAAAAACAATTAACAACAAAATAATTGAATAGTAAATGAAATTAAAAAAAACTATTTTCTTTGAATACACTTATAATATATTAATTACTATTTTAAACACTATTTGTTTGAAATTAAAAATTATTTTAACTATAAAATGTTAACAAAAATTATAATTTTATTTATTAACCCAACGGTTAATGACATTCAATAAAACAAAAACACAAAACACTTTTGTAATGACAATATCAACGATAATAAAACAAATAAATTTGAATAAATCAATAGTAATACTATTAATAATTTTTAGTATAAAATTTTAATACATAATGTGTACGGCTGTCTAAATATAAGATCAATAATAAAATTATTTTTTTTACAAATTGAAATAAATGCTACAATATCTCCTTATTATAATTATTATTAATTTAATTTTAAATAATAATAATATAAATAAAATAATTACTTTTTTTCTAGAAAACAAATCTATTATAAATATAAATCTTTAAATTTTTTTGATATCATTGATGAGTTAACAATATTTTATGTTATTTTAAATTTATTATTAATTTAGTTAATTGTTTTAAGTTTAAATATAGCCAAACATTTGATTTAATTAAAAAAAAGTTTCATGATACTTTATTTTTAAAAATTTTATATGTATTAAATATTATAATTCATATTAATAATTAAAAAAATATTATATATCCTATTAATAATGATAATTTTAATTTAATATTAAAAAAATACTTACTTTTAATTTGTTTATTGTATTTTTCCGGCAGCTTTTAAACATATCAATATATTGATTGATTGATTAATTAATTAATTAGTTTTTATTTTGTTTATTTTTACATAACAAAAAAAACTATTAATTATTTTTTATTTAAATTAGTTATTACTAACATAATAATAATTTTTTGTTGATACGATAGTATAATTTAACTTTTAGTTTCCCATATCAACAATTATCAATTTAAACACATTATATATATTTATATATAAAATAACCAACAATAAAAAAAACTATTAATTTAATAATAATAATAATGCCATTGAAAATAAAGTAATTTTTGTTGTTGTTGTTGTTGTTTGAATATTTAATAAGCAATTATTTTTGTTGTTGTTGTTTACATAATACATATAATAATATAAATATATGAACTTAAAATTTATAGCTATTATTAGTAACAATCAAAACAACCGTTAATAAAAATTATTTACATTACATTTATTTTCTAATATATACAGTATATATATTTTTAATTTACTAATATTTTATTTGGATATATTTAATGTATGAATTACTAGTAGTACGTAATATAATAGTATTTAATAATTATTATATATTTTTTTATAACATTTGATTCATACTTATAATATATAACTTTTTATTAGATAATGTTTTTTTGTTGTTGATCACAATTGATATTGAAATACTATATCCACAGGTAATAATAATTATAATAATAAAAAAAATAACTATTGAATTACTTATTAAATTATATATATATATATATTTAATGTAATAATTATTATAATAATGAATATAAATATATTACTGTTATATATATATATAATAATAATACAATTTTTTTTTAAAAAATTATTAATTGAAAAAATCAAATTATACAGTACTTATGAAAAAACATATTTGATATAAGAAAAATAATATTTATAAAAATATTTATCTAAATTAAATATTTAATTATTTTTTTATGTTTACTTTTTAAATATGTATATAATAATCATATAATGATATTTAATATATATATAATATTTACATAGCTGTTGAATTAAAAACCGTGTAATATATATATATATATATATATATTTATTTATATTCAATTAAATTATAACAGACAATTTTAATATTTTTTTAATAATTATTTATTTTCATATATACAGGTGTATAGCGTAATTTTAAAACATTTTTCAAAAATAATAAAATCAAATATAATTGTGTAAGGTCATTTAAAGGATGAAACCATAAAAAAATATCTCTTTGTCTACCAAATAAAATTTGAAAAAAACTAAATTTAATTGGAAAAAACCGAATTTTTCTACATTTACTCACACACACACACACACACACACACACACACACACACATACTCACTCACTCACTCACTCACTCACTCACACACACACACACACTCACTCACTCGCTCACTCACTCACTCACTCACTCACTCACTCACTCACACACACACACACACACACACTCACACACTCACTCACTCACTCACTCACACACATACACACACACTCACTCATTCACATATTAATACTTTTAATTAAAAATAATAATAATAATAATAATTCTATAGCCATATACCTATACTACTGGATATCAATGGTAATATCACTACTTAATCAACTTTATATTATACATACTGTCCTTTAAGTATTCAAATAGTGTACACAACTATATTATCTCTCTCTCTCTTTATTTCTTTCTTTCTCTCCCTCTCTCTCTCTTTCTTTCTTTCTCTTTCTCTCTCTCTCTCTCTCTCTCTTTCTTTCTTTCTCTTTCTCTCTCTCTCTCTCTCTCTCTAACCGATTAAACAGTATATCCCAATAACCCACAATCCCAACCTCCATACCATATCATACATAACTTGAAAAAACAAATAAACAAGGTTTTTTGGTACATATAAAATTTGATAGTGATATGATTTTGACAATTGATAATATATGGTATTTTATTTGATTATATTTAATATGAGTGTACAAAACGTGTTTTTTTTGTGTGTGACTGTATGTCGACTTGAATTTAGTTTGCGAGAGTTGAGTGTATCGTTTAGGACTTAGCCTTCATATTACATTTCTGTCCTCTCAGAGTGAGTGAGTGAGTGAGTGAGTGAGTGAGAGAGAGAGAGAGAGAGAGAGAGAGAGAGAGAGAGATAAAATAGATGGTAATAATAATAATGAGTTTGTTTGATATCATTTAAGTTAGATTTTTGACATACAAATAAAAAAGTTTGATTATAAAAACTATAACCACTGGTGAATATGATATTATAGTTTGAAGTTTTATTTTGTGTGTATTTATTTTTAACGAGATTTGCATTATATTTTTTTTGTTGGTTTGTATATTGTGTTTATCACTGACTATACTGTATTACTAAATAGATTTTTAGTTCAATAGCTATTGACTTTTTAATATACTTTTAATATCATATAATTGGCCCAAAATTTTTTTATTATTACTGTAAATATAACAAAAATCAGATTCAATTTAAAAAAAATATTATTTATATATACTATTTTGCAAATAATGTTTATTTGATTTAAACAATTGAAAAATTACATACAATTTTGAATAACAACTAAAAATTTAGTACTAAATACATATCATATAGTAATAATAAATAAATTATACAAAAAAAAAATTGAACGATAAATATTGACTACAATTTAGGCGATACAGTGTTTCAAAAATAAAAAAAATGATAAAAATAAATTCATTGATAGCTAACAGAAAAAAGTAATTAAAAAAATAATTTGATTTGATTTTAGATGATTTTTTTTTTTTGATGAGTCGACAATACATATCCATCCATTCATCCATCCTATCCATAGATATACATATGATATGACTGGGTGTTTGCGTTTACAGGAGGTGTCTGCCTATAACCGTTTGTATCGACCCAACAGTGCCCTACATTTGGGACAATGATGTTCGACGTCCATAACCGATGGACAGCACATACACGGTATGAGACAACAGCCACAAAAACAGCCAAACATTACCATCAGTGTGCCTAATACATAGCTCAGTATGCCGGCTATCGGTATCGTAGTGGTTGTGACTTCACCGCACTGGGCACAGGTCACTGGCATCGGTTCCTGACCAAACTCGGCCTGTCTGGCATTGTCTGGCATCCCTACCCCTGTGTGTATGTGTGTGTCTGTGACTAACCAATTAGATGAGCACCACCACCACAATCGATATGATGGGGAGGAGGACGAGGAGGAGGAAAGGTATCGATTAGATGATGATAAGGACAGGCAATGAAAAAAAACTGAGAACTGAGACAAAATTGATACCAAAATACAAATACGGTTAGTATGTGTTTGTATGTATGACTGATAATAATAACGGTTTGAATAAAAAATAATTGATTTTTTTGTTGTCGAAACAGTTTTGAATTATTAATTAATAATTTTTCAAATTAATGTATAATTAAATGATTATTATTTTATTATTATATTTTTTTTGAGTATTTCACGCACTTAACTATTAATTAACATTTATGTTAATTACAACAACAACAACAACAACTTAATAATAACCGTTTAAATGATATTTTATTTTAAAAAAAGTGTTTAATAATATCTGTAATTAAATTTAGACAAACTTTATATTCATATAAAATATATTGTTTTATATTAATAATTGTTTAATGTTTTTAATATCAAATCTATTGATATGTTTATCATATTTTATAATATCTTAATTTTGATGACAATATTATTAATAATAATTCACTTATCATTGGGTCAGTCGTCGTCGTCGTCGTCGTCGTCATCAGTAGTTTATATTACATTAAATACTAAAATCATTGATAGTGTTAAACTTGTTTGCAATTTAACTGAAAACAATACAATTTATTGGTTAAAAAATGGTCAAAATTGGCTATTTAATAGCAATTATATGGTATTTCGTGTCTATAGTAGTAGTAGTGGTGGTGATGGTGTAGACAAGTATATGACAAGTGATTTACTAATAAAACCATTAGTAGTGGACCGGGATGTCGGTCACTATCAATGTAACAATGGTTTACATCATGAATACCGATTGATAGCTGATCCTAATTATAGCGGCGAAACGTTAGCCGATCCTAACGATTGGTGGTCGACAACAACCACTAAATCCCAGGTTATCACTGATGAAAGTCATACGGAAAATAGTGTACCGTTTTTAGTCTATTTCGGTCACAATATGTTAGCCATATTCCGGACAACCCGTAAATTGATTGAACAGTTTTGGCAATTTTATCACTCATTAGATTTGTTTATTCAAATAATTATCGGTATATTTCTATTGGTTTTACTATTACTACTGGTGTTAACCAAATTGTTGGCCATTGTCTATCATAAGTCGTGCGAAAATTATGCCAAACTAACCGTAACCTATTTGGATCACCGATACAGACATGAGGGACACGAACTGACCATTAGTGAGGACGAGGAGGAGGAGGACAATGATGACGACTCTACCAAAACTACTACTGCAGATGATATCGCCAACAATATTGCCGACTATTCATTTGTGGCACTACTTAATGATTAAATTATTTATTTTTTATAACAAAAAATAAATAAATATTTATATATTTATTTATTTATAGTCTTATTTCTGTTACTATTTAATTATTAGTAATTATTTATAATTTTTAAATTATAATTACTGTTTATTTGTAACACAATTTATTTGATGATAAAATTTTTTTTTTTAGTAATTATTAATAAAAATATTTATTTAACTATTTCTATATACAATATATACAGTATATATAACTATAAAAAAATTACTAAATTTAGTTATACTATTGAAAGCACTGGTATGTTGTGTGTATGTGTATTAAGTTAGTTGTTGTTGAATATCAATCATTTTTTTTAAAAAATAAATAATTATACTATTATTTGGTCATCAAATTTTGACGACCGATTTAATCGGTCGACTTCAGGATGGCTACCAAAGCGCACACGAGTTCAATGATAACGATTGCAAAATAGACGGTAACAATGACGACAACAGCGGCCAGAATTGCTCGCACGACAAACAGCGGCCAATTGATGGACGTCTTCGTCGTTGACGGCGACCGAGTGGTCAGTTTAGTGGTGGTAGTGGTGGTTGTCGTTGTTATATTGCCGATCGTCGGCTCGTCTGAACTGGTCGTTACATTGGACGGTAGGTTAGATGTAGTAGTATTAGTATTGGTGTCCATAGTTGTCATATTAGTCGATGGCATATATGAGCTACAGTTGAATAAGGTATGGATGTGACTCTTGCACTGGTATTTGAAATATTTTTTTTTTAAAAATAAAAATAAGTTATGAAAACATCATGAAAACCGTAGTTTTTTTTGGTTATACCTGAAATTTATAGTCATCTTCACCGGTACGACACACCTGTACCACTGTATGGTTGACAATGTAAAATACGGTAAAATAGTGGCCACCAATTGGTGTACCGATAAGTATCGGCCGATACTGGTGTCGGTTACCAATGGTAAACATCGGACGCACCGATTCGTCTGAATCGTCGACTATTTTTTGGGTAATATTTATTGCCAATGATTTGTTCCGAAAGTCCCAACACTGTGTTCGGCCGACATAACCGTCATCGGCGGTCATTACCGTATAAAAGCACATCTCTGTTGTCCAAAACAATAGCAAACTGAATGACGGATTAAACAATAACTTTTGTTCAGCGGTAGTGATGTTCATCGGTGTCGACGATTGGTTCAATGATGTCGATGACGGTGTCATACTATCGTAGCTGTCTTTATCGTTAAATTCATACCAATCGACAATTGGTTCATCTGACTGACAGACAGAGAGACAGAGAGACAGAGAGACAGAGAGACAGAGAGACAGAGAGACAGAGAGACAGAGAGACAGAGAGACAGAGAGACAGAGAGACAGAGATACAGAGAGACAGAGAGACAGAGAGACAGAGAGACAGAGAGACAGAGAGACAGAGAGACAGAGAGACAGAGATACAGAGAGACAGAGAGACAGAGAGACAGAGAGACAGAGAGACAGAGAGACAGAGAGACAGAGAGACAGAGAGACAGAGAGACAGATAATTATGATATAATAATAAGTATTTTTAAAGTAATCTGTATATCATATTAACAAACAAACAGACAATAAAATTACCCGAAGAAAGCCGTAATTAAAAACATTGGACTTTTGATACAAACTGAATGCCGTCCGATATTTATTGCCCGATAACTGGTTGGGAACTGTCGACGGCGGCAATAGTTTTACAGTGAAATTTGAGTCAACTGTCCAAATATGGTCGCCAATAACCAGTACGGATACTGATAATTTGGTGTCGACTATCTTATAGAAAGTATAGCTCAGTTTGTAACCATTTGAGACATAATTAGTACAAAATCGATGGTTTTGATTGTTATTATCAGTGATATTATTAGTAGTGACCATCGATTGACTAACAATAGCTACGAAATTAGACAATCAATTATATACACTAACTATATTACTATATATCTAATCTATGAATTTATCGGCACAGGTATGTGTGATATTAAATAGCATATATATATATATATATACCTATGATAACTATGATAATCAACAATCGTATGTATATTATACGTAATACAGTCATAATTACAGTATAACTAAACAAAATATTAATTAAAATAAATCAAAATTTAGTTAATATATTAATAGAAATCTGAAATAATAACAATGTTGTTAATTTTGGTTTTTTTTTTGTTTAAAAATAAGTAATAATTCAAATACTAACTAGATATTATGTTAAAAATTTTAAATGTTTACTAAAAGTTATGCAATAAATTTAAATTTGGATAAAATTAAAATTGCATCTCGTGAAAATTTTTGAAAAAAATATTAATTTAGTTTTTTTTTTTAGTTTAGTGTTTTAGTTATTGTAATTTTTTTAATTATTTTTTTAAATATTAATAAACTAAATAAAACTAATTAATTGTGTTGTTGTTGTTACAAAATTAACTAAAATTATAATTTAAAAAAATAGTTTTTAATACAGTAAATAAATTACTAAATAATATTTGTATAGTATATTATATAATACACTATTTAATCAAAAAAAAATAATGTATAAATTAAATCAATATAATTGCAACGCACGTGCACGCGCTAAAAAAACAATTATTTAAACATAAAAATATAATTAAAAAAATATTAATAAAAATTTCAGATTATTAAAAAGTATTTGAAATTAAAACATACAGTATATCACACCTAAAAAAAACTTATTTTTGTTTAATGTATTTGTTTCTTAAAAAATTAATAATAAACAGTAGTTTTATACCGTTTCTATCGGTCACTGTTGTCCCCGATTACTGGTGGCCACGACAACGACATAGGGACAGACAATCAGGCAAACCGGTAGTTAATAATAATAATAATAATAGGTATTTCCTAATTAATACCTACAATATGATCGCTGACGGCATTACCCGACCAACCAATGTTAGACGGGCTTACACTTTGATGGATGACCACGTGGACAGTAGTGATGATCATATTGAACACATAGTTAACCAGTCGTTAACCAGATTTGTTCGGGCAATAACCCGAATACCTGAACTATCGGTACTGCCGGGTACGGCCTGTATACTGATGGTCGACCAACAAGACAATCAGATATATGCCGTAACCAACGAGCACGTGGTGGGCGAAGCTGTCCACTGCGACCTATATTTACCGTACTATCTCAATCATATATCGTTAGCGCGTGCACGGGTTATGTATCGTGAACCGTGGCTCGATCTGGCATTGTTGACCTTTCCCCTGGTTAGCATACCGAACCTACCGTCCATTCAACAGTTTCCCGAAACTATTGATCACTTAGATTTTGGCGATCCGGTAGTTTCGTTGGGCGTACCGGCCCGTAATCAAGTTGACGACCAATACGTATGGAATATCGGTTTGGTTACCTGTCCGGACTGCTCGGGCGACAACTATCTGGTCGTAACGTTTCAAAATAATTTCGACAATACCAGTCGACTGACTGTCCAATATAATGCCCAAGTGGTGCCCGGTATGTCTGGCGGTCCGACTGTCAGCCTAGACAACGGTGATCTGCTGGCCGTACACAGTATGGGCTATCTATGGTCGCGTGTGTTCAACGGTGTGTCCGGTTATGATTTAAACGGTTAGTTATTTAGATACTTGTGCAGCAGCGGCTTATGTATGTGCACTTAACGAAAACAAAAAAAAACAAAACAAATATGTGATATATACTCTATGTATATAGATTTTTTGGACAGAGCCTGGACTAACTCGGCACAGTTACGTGATGACCGGCTCCGGGATCATCTGATGATGTTGACTCTCGATCTACGACTGATGACCAGCAATGATGGACAGACCTATTATATTGAATATCGTAAATGTTTGCCTACTATAGCTACGTATGCTATGTTTGGTTTTTTTTTTAAATAGTGTTTCCCAATAAAAATAATAAACAATTTTATATATATATGTTTTTAATGTATTTTATTTTATCAGTGAACAACTCGAGTCTAACATCGGTTACATAATGGATATCAATGGACTGGCAATTGAATCGTTGGATCAGTTTATGTGGTATCTGTACGATCAGTTGATGTCAGCTGATAATGATAACAATGATAGTGGCGGTGATGTTGTCTCAGATAGTGGTGGTGTTGTTGTTGTTGATGTAACTGTTGCCTACAATTCCCAATTAACTGATAGACATATTATACAATTAAATATCATTGACAATGATTTACAAAATTTACTGATTAGTCAATTGTGATAAAAATACTATATATATATATAAGTTTACTGTATATACACTGTATAGACACTGTACATGTATTGATTTTTTAAAGTGTAAAATAAATATATCAATCAATATTATAATTATATTATAAACTATTAATATATAAAAAGTAAATTATAAGTAAGTTTTATTCAATTATAAAAAAAAATAAAAATAATGTTTGTTTTTTTGTAAATAAAATAATAATTAGTTTATTTTTATTGTAATTATGTTTTGTAATTTTGTAATAATTTTTAAAATGTTTTATTATTAGATATCAATTATATATATATATATATATTGATATTGAAAACAAAAGTAAATATTAATAGTTAGACAAAACAATTTAATAATTGACTATAAACTACATATATGTATATATATTTAATACCTGTATATATATCTATTACAACAGTAGTAGATGTAGAGTAAAATTTTTGTTTGTTTTTTTGGTCACCAAACCCCCCCTCCCCCTCCACCTAACAACAACAACAAAAATTATCCAATACGTCTATATCTGCCCAGATAGGTACGACAATTGGGACACCGGTGCTCGACATCCTGTGTCATTTCAAGCATACACGGTATGAGACAGCAGCCGCACCAGAAACCTAGAATACAGATACAGGTGCCCAGCACATAGGCCAGCAGACCGGGCGCCGGACGAGTTTCGGTTAGTACCAGTGCGTCACAGTGGCCACAGGTTAGCGGTACCGGATCGGGTCCCAGTTCGGGTGTTACCGTTTTGAATCGCTGGCCAACTGGCATCGGTAGTTGTTGTTGCTGTGGTTGCGGTTGCACTACGACTACCATAGGCTGCTGTGGTGGTGGTGGTTGTGGTTGAACTGCTTGTCCTCCACCTTCTCCACCACCTTTTGGACTAACGGTTTGTTGGGCTGATTGTTGGCCACTATTGGTTACGGTTACTGTCGGCGATTGTGGATTATTTTCATCACCCATTGTCTGGGTCTATATGTATGTGTGTTTGTCTATCTGTCTGTCCGTCCAACGGGTAATGTCTCTACCAATCGGGTAATAGTTATGATAGTAGGAGACAATCGAAAAAAAACCAAAAATTCAATACAAATTTATATTTAAATGTAATAGTTTTTTAATAAAAACTTTTTATATCAGTAAAAGATTTTTTTCGGTTAAAAAAACGGTTTGAAATGCTAGCTTATTATTGTTATCATTAAATAATAAATAATTTTTTATAAATAATATACTTATACCTTAAACTTATATATATCTTTGACAATGATTTTTTTTAAAAAAAAATTACTGATTAGATAATTATTGTGACAACAATTTGTTTATTTTTATATATTTATCTGTATTATTATTATTACAATATATTTATATGTACTGTTAATATATACAAATGTATACTGTAGTATAGATTTATAGATTAAATAAATATATCTTATTATTATAATTTATTATAAACTAACAAAAAATAATGTAAATTATAATTTAGTTTTTGCTAATTAATAATTTAGTACTTATATTAAAAAAAATAAATAAAAATAGTTTACAACAAAATAGGTTTGAGATCCAAATTAACAAACAATTTAAACAATTGACTGTAAAGTATTGTATATATCTATTACAATAGTAGTAGATGTAGAGTAAAATTTTTGTTTGTTTTGTTTACACCCCCACCCCTCCCACTAACCTCTACCCCGGCAAAAAAAATTTATCCAATACGTCTATATTTGCCCAAATAGGTACCACAATTGGGACACCGGTGCTCGACATCCTGTGTCATTTCAAGCATACACGGTATGAGACAGCAGCCGCACCATAGACCAAGTATACAGATAACGGTGCCCAACAAATAGGCCAACAGACCTGGCGCCGGACGGGTTTCGGTCAGTACCTTGGCGTCACAGTGGCCACAAGCTAGCGGTACCGGATCCGAACCCAGTGCTGGTGCTACCGTTTGGAAGCGCTGGCCAAATGGTTGTTGCGGCTGTGGTTGTGGTTGTGGTTGCGGTTGCGGTTGCGGTTGCACTACGGCTACCGGAGGTTTCTGTGGCTGTACTACAGGTGCTGATCCACTAGCAGCAGGTGTTTGTGCTCCTCCTCCTACTTCTCCTTCACTACTTTTTCGGCTAACGGTTGGTTGGCTATCACTGGCTGCCGCTGCCGATGGCTGTGGATCTGTTTGATCAACCATTGTGTGCGTCTGTCTGTCTGTCTGTCTGTCCAACGGGTGTGATGTATATCCAATCGGGTAATAGTTATGATAGTAGGAGACAATCAAATAAACAAACTAAAATTCAATACTATTTTTTTAGTATAACTAAAAATATTATATATATATATATATTAATATCGGTTTTTTATAACTAAATGATACCCAACAACAACAACAATAAAAAAACTGTTTGAAATGTTTGCTTTTATTTTTGTGTTATTGTTATTATTCAAAAAAATCTTTAAAACAAAATTAAATTGATTTATTAATCTCGTGTTATAAATAAGTAATTGTTTTTATTTTTGATTATTAAATAAATTATTATTTGTACTATAAATTTGGGTAATTTTCAACAAAAAAATACTAACAATCAATAAATGTTTGTTGTTTTAATAAGCAAAACATTGTTGTTGTTGTTGTTGTTAATTAATTACTTAATTAAATAAAAAAAACCTAGGACCTAAAATTTAAACAAGTTTTAAACTTAAAAGTTAAAAGCTATGCAAGAAATAAACTTACAATAAAACACATTTACATTATATTTTATTGTATATAAAAATTTTCGGTAAATAATGTTTAAACAATAATTGGTTTTATATTATTAATATAACAAAATTATTATTTCAATATTAATATAAATATAAATATATATATATATATATATATAAAATCAATTAAAACTATAATACCTTTTGTTTTCAAAAAAAAACATTTTTTCATATTTAATATAATTATTATTATTATTATTAAATATTGTTTAATTAATTATAGTTTTCAATTAACATATATATTTTTAAAAAAAATTATTAATAAACAATTACAGATTGAAAAAAAGTTTATTTTAATACATACTGTATATATGTATAAAAAATAAAATTAAACACAAATTCAATATATTTTTAAATATATTGTAATATTTAATAATCCAAATGAAAAATTAGTTTACAATTACTAAAAACTAATTTAAATTATTAAAACAATTTTTATTAACAAATATTATAATAGAATTCATAATATAATAATAATTAATTATAGTTTTTCAGCAAAAAATTTTTAGACAATACATTGTATTGATTTATTTGATTTATTATTTTTTGTTTTATCATTATATCCGTTTGTATCGACCCAACAGTGCCATACATTTGGGACAGTTATGGTCGACGTCCTGAACCGATTGGCAGCACATACACGGTATTAGACAACAGCCGCAAATACAGCCAAACGCACACAACAGGCCACCTAATAGATAGCTTAGTAGTCCGGGTACGGGCTGGGCTCTGGTAGTTACATCACCGCACTGGGCACAGGTCACTTTAACTGGTTGCTCACCAAACATAGCCTGTCTGACATTGGATGTCATAATTATATGGTGTGTCTGTTATTTAATGGGATTTTTTTTTTGGGACACTTTATGATTAAAAAATTGTTATAAACAGTAAATTGTTGTGTGTTTGCAGTTTAAATACACCGACACATACATACAGTATAAACACATACATACAGTATAAACACATACATACATATAAACACATACATAAAAACACATTGATATATAAGGATATTTCCCATATATGTATTTATTAACTTCCCTTTATTTTTTTGATAAAATTTTTTAAATAATTGTAATTGTTAAATATTATAATTAGAAATAAGTGTAAAATTAATAATATAGCAATAATAGCAATAATAATAGTAATAATACCATTTATAGATTTTTCATTATCAATTATTTATACATTACATTATCATTATGTAATGTATAAATTCATAATTTATATGTTTATTATATTTAATATACTAATTATTATAAATAATTATTATTTTTAGTTTTATTATTATAAATACAAGCTAGAAATATATTTCTAATTAATTTTTCAAAAATAAATTATAAATAAGTTATTTATTTATTTTTATAAACTAATTTTATTCTAAAATATATATATAACAAACAAAAAAATAATAATATGATCTAAAATAATACTAAATAATGATTTTTAATACAATTTAAACACTGATTATATTTATTTAGTAAAAATTATTTTTAAAAAATAATAATAAACAATTTTATGATCTTTTATTGACTATTTTTTTCTATTTAATCTACAAAAAAAATATTTACTAATTTATACAACTAAATATCTACTAAACTTAAGAAAATATCATTATAAAGATTTATTTTTTTTAAAAAATAGTAGCTTTACTAATATTTTAATAATATTTAAATTTTATTTAAATTTAAATTTAAATTATAATATTTAAATATTTATTTTTTAGTATTTATCATTTACAAATACTGTATATATATATATATATAATTTTTATTCATTTAATATAAATGTAATATTAAATATAAATAATTTATTATTATTTTAATTATACGTTTGCATGTTTAAGTATATACAGTATATTATGAAACTTTGTTATTTTATTGTGATTTGTTTGTCTCTGTGAGCCATATATTATTAATTATAAGTTTATTAAATATTATTATTTGTTAATCAAAAAAAAAATTATTATTTTAATTATAGATTTGCATGTATTATAGATATTATTTATAAGTTTAATAATTATAATAATATTTATTATTGCACCTAATTATTTTTTCTATAAAAAAATATAATTTAATTTTGGTGCAAATGTTCACAAAAAAATATATTGAATAATATATTGTATTTAAGATAATTAGATTTCGAAATAAAAAAAATTATTTATAAATATAAACATTATTTTATAATCAAAGTTATTGCAATAAATTATATATATTATAAATACAAAACTAATAAATTATTAAGTAATTTAAAAAATATATATATAATTATAAATATTTAAGTCTTGTTTATTTAATATTATATAGTTTTAATAATATGTATAACTAATATAAACTAACAAAATAGTATAATGATATAAATCTATTGTTAAATACTTTAATTAATTAACTAATAAATTAATGCTAAATGTTTTTAATATACTAAACTTAAATCAAATAATAAATACAATATATATATATAAATGTATATTTTATTTTATTTTTAAATATTTAACAAAGTTTCAAAAAAAACATTACATAAAATTTAATACATAAATTTATTATTTTTTGTGTTATAAATTAAAAAAATATATATAACATAATATTATAAAAAAAATTATGAGCAATTATTATAATAAACAATTTGCAGACAAATTAGTCAAACATTTAGGCAAATGTTATTTAATAAATTGCAATCGCATTGATAATAGTTATTCAAACGGCAATATAAATCGTAAGAAATTATTAATTAATATTTCCATAAAAATTATTACAATTATCAGTATTTGTCGTATGGTTGGCCTATTTGTTGGTATTGTTGATAATGAAAAAACTAGTAGTCATAGTCGTCATCGTAATCAATGGCTTATCAATCAGTTATGCGATTTTACTTATCTGTACGGAAATCGTCAATTGATTATAACATTTGTATTGAGCGGTCAAATGGTTACAAATATCGGTTCATATGTCTGGCTGTGGTATGAATTATATGATAATAGATATATGTATGGATTAGTTGATCAACTAATAAATCTATGCAAATATAGGGCATTATCATCATTGAATAATACTAATATTATCAAAAAAATAGTTTACTATCTAACTGTACTAACATTTCCCAATAGTCGATCAAATTGGCTAAATTTTTCTGTATCATATATGCTAACAAATTTACCATTAATTATGGACTATATTGGCACCGGTAGTAGACAATATGGTATAGGAAACAACTATAGTTTACCTAATATATTGGTCTGTCTAATCATAACATGGATTGAATTATTTAATGCCCTAAACTATTTGCCAACAATTATTGTTATTATAATAGTCTATTGTATATTATTGGCCGATATGTTTGCTCAGTTAAACAAACAAATTAAGTCAATATTAGTATCGAAAAAAATATTATCAAAATATCATACAATCGATAGATTGATATCACTGTCTATTCATAGACATAATGAACTGACAGTATTAGTCTATCGGTTCAATCGTTTGCTATCAAAATCGGTGTTTTTAATGTATACTTTTGGTTCAATTAGTCTACTATTGATACTCAATCAGATACAACATCGACAGTCGACCATAATTTATAAATCATTAATGATTATACCGTTTGTATTGATTTTGTTGATGAGTTTGTTTAGTGGCCACTTGTTTGCCAAAGTGTCTGAAATGGCCCACAAGTCATACGGTGTAATGTTTTCACTGTTAGCTAATCGCAGGCATCGGCTAACGTTAGGTCAGCGCTTGAAATGCAAGACATTTATCGGACGACTCAGTGGACCCGCAATTGGTTTCTATTGTCTATCGCTATTCCCGATCACTAATTGGGAAATCATTCAACTGATTATGATTTGTGGATCTAACTATATGATTATTGTTAAATTATTTTAATATATATATATATATATATATATATATATAATTAATAGTCTTAAAAATTTATTAATTAATTATTACAAAAAAAATAAACTTTAAAAATGTTTAAAGTAATATTAATTCTAAATATAATTTAATTTTTTTTTAATAAAAAGATAAAAAAATATATATAATTAATTTCAAAAAAATATATTTGTTAAAAAATAAGTAATAATATTTTAAATAACATAGTTATATTAATATTTGTAATACACATAAATTTATATAACATAATAATGTATAACAAAAATAATATACAGTATTTTTCCTATTTTTCAACAAAAAGTGCTTTTAATTATAATTTATAAATATTTTAGTACTTTTTATTTAATATTAAATATAATTTTTTTTAATAAAATGTTTGCATTAGTCATATGACAAAAACTAATATAAATTAGCATAAATGGTGATAATATAGATCTATATTTAAGTATATATATATGATAAATAAAAATTAATGCAAAATAAAATATAATACAAATTTAAGTCAACAAAAAAATTATGAATTATCTAATTAATATTAAAATATTAACGAAAAAAACTTTATAAAACAAATTAATATAAATATATATTGTATATATATATATATAATTATAAATAATAGTATTCATTAAGTAAACAAAAATATAAATTAAATATTACTGTATTATTAAAAAAACAATGGCTAATAAAAAATATTAAAAAATAATAAAATTGTAATTAAAAAAAACCAAGCCAAATAAAACAAAAAAACTAAAAATAAATTACTAAACATATAAATAAAATAAAACATGTGATTATTTGGTTGTAATTATATTACAATACAGTATTTAGTAAACATTGTTTACTTTAGGAATAAATAAATTGAATTTTTTCGTTTACATAAGTTTGCAATTTATATTAAAATTTTATAATATAATATAAAACTATTAATTTCGTGAATAATTAATATCGTAATAATATGAATTATATATATATATATATATATATATATATATATATATATATATATATATATATAATGAAATTAAAAATAAATATTATAAATGAATAATGAATGTAAACATAAAATTTAACAAATAATATTTTTTATTATCAACTATTATGAAACATAAGTCAAATAAAAACAAATTAAATAGTCATATAATAAAAAAAAAATCTAACAATAGTTGTGTAATAACAATATATATATATAAAAAAAAACTTAAATCAAACATTTTCCAAATTATAAATAAGTATTAATAATAATACTAATAATTTGTCTCTAATTGTAACAATAATTATTACTATTAGATATTTAAAAAATGACAAATTATTATAATAAACAATTTACTCATAAACTAATCAAATGGTTTAGTAGTCGTAGTCTAATAATATGCAATCGCATTAGCGATAGCTATATGTCTGGTACTATAAACCGACAGCAATTGGCCAGAAATATCTGCATAAAAATTGTCTCATTTATCAGTATGTGTCGTATGATTGGCTTATTACTGGCCAAAGATGATATCGGCCAACAATGGCTGATCCGTCAGCTATGCGATCCAACCTATCTGTACGGTAGCCGACAATTGATTATAACCTATGTATTGGTCGGCCAATTGGCCACTAATATCGGTTCCTATCTGTGGCTATGGTATGAGTTACATCCAAATCGATATTTGTATGAATTTATCGATCAACTAATCAATCAATGTTTGATTAAAACATCAATGAATAGTATTAATAGATTGAAGAAAATGTTTTACTATTTAATACTATTGATATTTCCCACTAAATCTGTCTATTGGTTTCTATTTTATTTGGTATACATTAGTATGAATATACCGGTAATCTATGGCTACTTTGATCGGCACTTACATCACTATTGTCTGACAAATATTATTGTATGGCTGATCATCGCTTGGATCGATATCTACAATGTTTTCAACTATATATTTACAATATTTTATCTATCGATAGTCAATGGTATACTAATTGAGGATAATTTTTCTGATATTAATAGTGAGATTAGTTTATGTCA